TTTTTTTTTTTTTTAAAGGAAAAAAAAAAAAAAATTTATTGTTGGTAATTTATATTTTGTCTTGTGTGACGTGAAACGGATCATCTTACCGCACCGCCCTCGGCTATATGTTTATGGTAACGCAGGTGACATATTATGCAGGTGACAAATAGAGATCAGACACTCAGTCGCTGAGATAAATATCATAAACAGCGCGAACGGGCAGTCACGTGAACGGTGACGGTTAGACATCAAACCTTTCCGAGGGTGGTGTGGTAAGATGATTCCGTGAAACGTAATAGCACATGTAACTACGGATCACGGATATTCAGATTGTACTAAATACGGTTAATCAATTTTTACAATTTGAATCATCTAACCATTTTTAAGAAAAGTTATACTTTTATGGTTGTAAATATTTTTTTTCAAATGATGATGCACATTATTTTATATTGTAGTAAAGTGGGTTGCAATAAAAGGTTGATTAAATACAAATTGAGATTAAAGCATTAATATAAATAATATAAATTATGTTAACTTGTCCATAGCATTTAATATTTTTTGGAAAAAAAAAAAAAAAAAAAAATATTTCGAAATTAAAAATTTTTCGTCTGGTTTTCGTTATTTAAATCAAAGATTGTGAAAAGTTAAATCTATTTACAGTAAATAAATTTTACAGTACCTAAAAAAAATACTAATTATTATGTATTATCTAAAATAATATTGTAAAATATTGGATAATTTAATATATACTCAAGTTTCATCGAAAGTGAGAAGAATAATAATATAACCTTACGGACACGGAAAGCTTTCGCATAATACAAAAAAAAATAGTTTTAATAATAATAAATTTATAATTTCCTAAATTATATTTGTTAATTTTACACTGAAGTTATATAAGTGATTTGATTATAATTTTACAAACTCCAATTACATATTTTATATGTGCGTATATTATTGAAACCGAGGCAAAAACCTAAATATCCACGTGACTGCCATTATTTTTTTTTTAATATAATAATGACCTATTTGAATTATTGAACTTTATCAAAGTGTATAAAAATATGATTTTTATTTTTTTAGTAAGACTCTTTTTATTATAATCTAATTGTGATTTATTTATTTAAATAGAATGTTGTAGACATGAACCCCGAGATTAATCGAATAATTTCAGAACTTAATGATGTTAATATAACTATTTTTAAATCAATTTTTTTTTTAACAAATTTTGTTTTTTTAACGAATTTTATTTTTTTTAATAAATTTTGTTTTTTCTAAAAAAAAATTTTTTATTTGTAAGTGCCATGTTCCGAACTATATAATATGTTCCAAACTATAAAAATAAAACTGAAACTGAAGGAACGAGGGGTATGCAACTTCTCCAGACAGAACTTTTTATGATGGGATGTGCCGATGTGCATACTAACTTATTATAAAATATATACAAGTTTCGGACTTCCAGCTTCTCTGGTATAGAATTCTGAATGGTAAGCTAGTTTTCTTTGGATAGGTTAGAATAAACTTTAAGAGACGTACTAACATTTCTTTTTATTGTTTCGTAGTTTTCTGGTATAACATTTAGAGGATAGGGTTTTTGGAAGAGAGCTCGCCATTAGCTTTAGGAAACAAACTTTTGTTTCCTTTTTTTTAATTTTTTATGATTCTGCTTTTGACACATTTATAATGTGGTATATCAATTTTTTAGGGGAAGCTTTCGCTTTGAACAACGTATTATTTTTTTATTCGAGAAAACATTTTACTAATATTTACTTTTTACTTTTTGTAGGTTCTGGTTTGGATTTCTGGTAGTAAGTTATGATACTTCTATCCTTCTTTTTAGAAAATGTTCATTAACGTTAATATTTGAGAATCAGTCTTCCGGGCTTTGATCTACCCAGCGTACTTAGCCTAAAAAACGCATTGTTATTAAGTTCCTTAGGATACTTATGAAAATTGAAACGGAGGGGTTTGATACCAGTGAGGGAAAAAAGTCACTCATGTAATTTTTAGTGACATTCTAACTACCCAAAATATTGTACTCACGTGATCTATTTGCTGGCATTATGCCGTTAAATGTGGAGTTTTTGCATTAAGAGTGACAAAGTATTTGACGAATAATATGTGACAAATTATATTATAATAATTTTATTTATATTAATGAAAGACCAATCTTATACTAATTAAATTTCATAGTAAAGTTATTATAAAAAAAATATAGTATTTGTACCAATTGCACTTTTTAGAACTCAGTTGTTGATCTAAATATTATAAGATATATATTAATTTAATAAATAGAAATTTATGTTTTCAAAAATTTGAAAAATTTAACATATTTTACCTAATTTGGTCAAGTTCATCTGTTTCAGTAAACTTCGCAAGCCCTGGGTCCATTTTAAGAATTAATTCATCCTTCCAAAGCAGTCTATAACTATTAAACCAAAATAGGAGAAAAGAATCAACACCTTCATAAATTTCAGATTTAATGAGTTCTGGTTCTTCACTGTTAATGAGTTGTTTAAGAATTATGTGTTTTGGAATCTCAAGATATTCATGATTCTCATTTATAAAGGATAATAATGTAAAGGAACTACAATGTTTTCTGAGCTCTATGTTAATATTTTTATTGAATTTAATATGAAATTTCTTATCATCTAAGAAATCGTGGTAATAAGAACTTTGAAATCGGTATTGATGGAACTGATGCTTTTTAATAATGCTATTACGAATTTTTGCAAAAAACATTTTGATTCTGATCAGTTATGAAAAAGTAAGATTTGGAATGCAAAAAAGTAACAATATAGTTTTTTTAAATAAATGGGCTAATAATAATGACTCGAAAATGACTTAAAAAAAATGATAATTTTAGAAAAATCCAATAAATTATGTAATTAATTGTGGCTTTAAATTAGATAAAGAAAAAATTTTTTTAACCAAATCAATTAATCCTAAAATTTTCTTACATAATTAGAATATTTTATTATTTCCTAAAACCAAGAAATAAACAAACCATAAAATTTTTTATTTATTATAGATGTTTATGTGCTGTATTTATATTGGTTAACTAAATACCGTACAATATCATATTATCGTACAGCTAATGCAGGGCATGCGTCGCTGTATTTATTACATTTTCTTTTATATTCTTATTACCAGAAATTAATTCCACTTGGTAATTATTATATATAGTAGTATTAGTGTATTACATATTAAAAACTATTAAACTTTATCATATACAAATCTATAAGTATACATTATATCAGCAATAATCCTTTAAATATATTTGAATTTTTTTTCTTTTTTACGTAACAGGTAACAATATACAAATTTTAATGTCCAAAAATGGGTATAGTATGTTCATTAAATGTCATTATGATACTTATGATACTCATTTTCAACATCCCGTCGATGATTACAAATTATGTTAGCTTGTTACTGTATACAATTAAAAGCAAAAGTTCTTTATATTAATCGATTTGTATAAATAAATGAATCAATATAGATGTGTATGACGGTTTGCTTATGAGATATCAAGTGCATTCTTCACACAAATATTAATAACAATTTAGACATTATTCAATAATCTAAGAGAATTTAAAATGTTAATATTAAATTCTTAATTTAAATCAACATAAAGAATAACTATATGTTTATTGAAAGAACCCGTTTACATAAATAATAATGATTAAAATGATCAAACAAAGGAAAATTTCTTAGTAATTTGAAATACTTCAAATTCTTCTACAGAAAATTTATCATCACTATTTCTGATCGGTTTATCATATGAAGCTTTTTTGCAAATACTATTTTTAAAACCATCTTTTCCACGCAAAATAAGATCACTCTCTCCAAATGATGGACCGCGACTAGCGTGGTTAGATATGGCAAAATTTGTATCCCTTACACGACTCAAAACATTATGATTCTCGACACTTTTATTTTTATCAAAAGAGAATATAAAACTATCGTAAGCAGCTGTATATTTACCACCAGTTTTCCATTCAATTGGATTATATCCTCCAAGAATTTCGTTACTGCCCCTCACTTTAATAATAGTTACAGTGCGAGCTTGATTTTCGCAGGCTTTACGAAATTTATTGCTATTGTATGCGTTATGAGATCCATGAAAAATTAATTTAAATTCATATGAAGCATTAAGATCTAATCCATTAATCCATCTCAAGATTAATCTAGCATGTTCTAATGTAATAATGTTTGAAACAATATTTGTAATATTGGCTGACCCAAATATCCGTGGTTTAATATTCGGAATATTACTTGTACTTGTCGACTGAGTTTCAATCTTTTCAAATGTCTGAACTTCGGGTTCAATCTCTTTAGTCTCCTCCGGTTCTGGTTGATCAGTTGGTTTATGATCGTGATCCAAAAAAAGTTTTATTAAATCAATAAATAATGCCTCGGGTAGAATTTCTCTATAAGGAAATACATTATCTAAAAATTCTTTTGAACTAAAATTATCGAACTTAATTAAAGGAATACATTGTTGTAAAGTATTTTTTAATGTATTAAAATCATCCTCAGAAAAGCTTTCAGGATCAGAAGGAAGTCCTGGATTTTGATCGAGTCCCCATTTAAGAACATGATTCCAAATTTGAACTTCATTCGTTTTAAGATTATTATTTTGAATAAGAGAAATCAAAATATTTTCCGGAATCGAAGAAAAATTATTTGAATTGAATATCTTATCTGGTTTATTTGTTATAAGATCGTTACAATAATTTTGAAGTTCTAATAAGGAATTATTTTCTAAACTTGTTTGAAATAACAAGCTAAAATTTTTTACTATCCAAGATGTATGTTTTCGAATTAAAAAGGATTGTAAATGATTTACCAATTCTTGAAGGTCAAATTCGCTAGCAGCAACCAAGGTTTTAAAGAAAACTGAAAAATTAGTATATTCATCAGAAAAAAGTTTTCCACCATAAATATACCTAAAAAAAAATTATTTTTTTCAGTAATTGTTATAATTTAAAATACTATTTATTTCATTATTTTGAATTCTTTATTACCTTAAAATTATTTGAAAAATTTCAGGTAAAACATCTGATAATTTAATATGTGTCAAAGTTCCATGACTTTTATTTTTATCAGATAAAATTTTACGAAAATAAGGAGAACGATAATTTAATATATTCATATGAGCACGAAATATTTTTACGTATGGGTCACTACCAACTTCAATTGTTACATCATAAAATTCATCGTCATCTAAAAGTTCAAGCAAATTTTGTGATAATTTTGGTAAAAATTTATTATCATCCATTATACCGTATAAACGGATGATACTTTTTGTTTTTCTTTTTAAAAAAAAAAGAACGAATGCTTTGAATTAAACTTAATTTGTTATTATTTATATTCACATGCCAGTCACATGCGCAGATATGTTATTTATTGGCGTCATGCCGATCGATTATTCGATTACACAATTGCGGCCATTAAGAAATCAGCTTACTTTTTAAATAACGCTTATAATTTTATTTATTTATTATAAATAATAAAATATTGACATAATATATTATAATATATAGTATACAGTAAATGTTTAAAAATATAAAAATATATGAATTATTCAAATATCAAAAAATAATATTTTTTGTTTAAAATGATATTATAAAATTATTAAATTTAAGTTAATTTTATAATTTCAAATACTTCATATTCTTCTATAGAAAATTCTTTTTCAGTTTCTCTGATTGGTTTTTCATAAGAAGTTTGTTTACAATAACTTTGATCATAAAAATCTTTTCCCCACATAACGAGGTCCTCACAAAAGTATGCGGCGGTAGAAGGAGTATTAAGTGTAGGGCATTTTTTATCTATTACCCGACTTAAAATGTAATTAATATTATTTTTATCACATTTAAAAGAGAATATAAAATTATTTTTGATATCCTCATCATCATCATCATCGTCGTCATAATAATAATAATCATCATCATCCTCGTCAGGGTCCCATTTAATCGGATTATATCCTCCAAGGATTTCATTTGTATCCTTTACTTTCATAATTGTTACGGTACGGGGCTGGTCGTCACAGATTTCATGAAATTTATTAGTCGAAAATCCATCGCGAGTTCCACGAAGAATTAATTTGAATTCATATGTAGAATTTTGGTTATTGGAAATATCTTTTCTATCAATCCATTTTGAAATTAAATCAGCTTGCTGGGGTGTAATAATGTTTGAGTCAACCTCTATACAAGTTTTTGATGTACTTTTACGGGTTACCGATTTATAATCACTTGACTCAATATCATTACAAGTTACTGATTTATCATCTGATCCAATACTTTTACAAGTTTCTGGGTCATTACTTAACTCAATTTGGTTACAATTTTCTGAATTTCCATTTGATCCACTTGATTCAATATTTTTGTAGGTTTCTGACTCACTGTTTGACTCAATTTGATTACAAGTTTTTGTCGACTCTATATTTTTGTAGTTTTCTGATTTACTACCACTCGATTCAATATTTTTACATGGTTCCGATTTACCATATGGCTCATTATTATAACAAGTTTCTGATTTAACATAGGTATTTAACAAATTCGTTAATAAATCTTCGGGAAGAATATTTCTATAAGGAAAAACATTATCCATAAACTCTTTAGAAGATAAGCTACAGAACCCAATAAAAGGAATAAATTGTTGTAACGTGTCTTTTAAAGTAACAAAATGGTCCTTTGAAAAGTCTGCAGGATTACAAGGTAGTCCAGGATTTCGAGAAAATCCCCATTTAAGCACATAATTCCATATTTGCATTTGACTCATTTTAAGATTACTATTTTGTATCATTGAAATCAATATTTTTTCTGGAATTGAAGAAAGATCTAACATGTTAAATATCTTATCTGAATCGAATAAACTGGCGCATAACCTTTGTAGTTCTAGGAACGAATCACTTTCAAAACTCGTTCGGCATATTAAATCAAAATTATTTTTTATCCAACTCTCAGTATTTTCAATCAGAAAGAATTGTATATGGGAGATTAATTCCTGTAGATCTAATTTATCGGCAGTAATCAAAATATCAACAATACTTGAAATATCAAATTCCTTTAAAGAAAGAGTTCCTCCATAAATATATCTAAGATAAAAAAAATAAATATTTATAAACATATAAATCTCAATAATAATAATTTATATAATATTTCTTACCTTAAAATTATTTGAAACGTATCAGCTTGAATAGTTGGAATTGAAATGCGTGCAAAATTCTCGTCGTCTTTCTTTTTATTTTTTGATAACAATCTTCTCAAATAGGGAGAACGATAATTTAATATAACCATATGAGCACGGAATGTTTTTGGTTCCCCTAAATTACTTCCAGCTTCAACGTTAACATCACAATATTCATTGTCATTCAAAATTTCAAGTAAACTTTGGGATAATTTTGTTAATAAATTATTATTATCCATCATTATTAAAATTCGGATTTTAGTAAAATTGTAATATTTTTTTTTTTTTTTGGTTTGGAATGCTTGTTGTTCTAACGATGACCTTATGTGTATATATATAAGAAACTAGGTTATTGCGAATAATTGTAGTAATATTTAGTTGATATGAATGTTAATCATTTTTAATTGTTGAATGATTTTAGGCGTTAAAGAAAATTGTTATTGTTAACATTAAATCTTTGTAATTGTTGTTGATCATAATAAAAAAAATATATTTTTTGACTGCGGAACATGAAAGATAGTTGCTAAAAATAGTTTAAATAAAATCAAATGACCTTCTCTTAATATCTCATAATAACACAAATACGTAAGTTCAATTAATATTGGTTGACAAAAGATTTAATCTTAACCATACATGGTTAACGAGATTTATCAACATTCTAAGAATTTCTATACAAGTTGATAGTATAATTAAAAGTTTATAAAAGGTTCTATTACCAAAATCTGCGGACAAAGAGATTTTGAAATTCATTAAATAAATTTATCATGTGGTAATACATGTTCCATGTCATTTCTACTTTATAATTTTTTCTATTTTACTTTATTTTATTATTTTATATTAAAAAGTAATTATTGGTACTAAATCCTTTTATTAGTTTTATCATCACCAAATCACAATAATGTAATCCGTTGCATAAAAGTAAAATAATGAATTCTTTTTTTAATTTGAGATATTTTGTACTCTTTACAAAATATAATTGATAACCTGATTTTATTAACAGTGCTATAAATAAAAAAATCGGATACTCTCCAATAATTTCGTTACTTTCTTATACATTAATAAATAGTTATTGTTCAGTCGATTAGGAATATGCGGGATTTTACTTCCTAATGATCTCAGTTATTGATTGGATGGGGATTGGGGGATACCGGTCTTCGATTTTTCCCCATCCAATAACTATTTATTATGATGCGAATTCCCATATACAGTAAGCAAAATGCTTTATTCAAAAAGATACTTAGTAGCCATAAAAGAATACGTTTTGTGAAGTATAAGTCTGGAAAAAAAATATAAAACCAAAATTTACGATTTTATTAGTTGACGACCACGTGAGTGGACGGAGAAACACTCGTGACCACAAATTATTCAGAAATATATTTTCCTTCGCTTCTCTTCAGACAATTATTTTACACCCATTTGCTAATTATTAGTGCACGTGTTTACATTACATGTTCGATTGCGTATCATCTGAAAAAATTTTTTTGTCATTTTTTCATTACAATTTTTTTTAACAATAGAATTGGAATTTGTTCCATAAATTAAAGTACCTTTTTAATTAATTCATCAAATATCAATGACGAAGTTCCAAAATTTCTGAATATAAATCAATATTTGATTTAATTCTATTTGTAAATTGTATTAAAAAATTCTACTCGTATATTAGAATTTCCGTACAACTTTTCCACCATTCAAAATACTCTGGCACATGACTTTATAATATGATATCATTTAGTACATACGATATACTATAAATATATTTACAGCAAATAACTTCAGTTTATTTTTATTAATTTTGTTAAAAGTACATTATAGGTAAAATTATAGATATTTGTATATACTCGCTATACGCAACTTAGCCCATGATTACTAAAGAAAATAAGCTTTTACCAGTACAATTAAAAAGAAAATAAATATTAAATAAATAAATAATGAAATCTGCCATTACTTCAAATTCATAATAAATTATTTAATAATACAAATTCTGATCTGCGACAGGATACGAATCTTCTACAGCGCTAATAATAGAATTCATTTCAGTCATTTGACCATAAGTTGCATATGCACATCCGTAGGCATCAAATGATTGATCTGGTGAATTGTTCGGATTTCCGACAACAACTGCAATACAGTAATCTGTAGGGAAATTTACTGGCGTCGGAACTTGTACATTTACATTAATCTGTTGTCCACTCGTATCTTGAAAATTTTGAATATAAAGGGGAACTAGGGGAGCTTGGTTAGTATCAGAAAACATAATTACAAGTTGAGTATTTGAGGTAATATCATTATTTAGTGTTCCGGAGATGCTAAAGCTACCAAAGCTTCCAGCAGCGAGAGGGTCAGGTGCAATTGTTACATTAAGTGGAAGTAGTGTTGACGTTTCCGGACATTGATTAAATATAGTAGCTCTTGTATTCACCGTAAAAAGCGTAGTCAATAAAATAATTACAAAAATAAAACTTTGGTTCATGATTCTTTGTGAAGATGACTTAATAAATATTTAAAAGTTTTTTTTTTTTTTTAATTGTTGGATAGAATATACTTAATTATCGGATAACAGTTATTTGCCTTTTTATAAGAAAAAAAAAAAAAATCCCCCAAAATTCATATTTCTTTTTTAATAAAAAATCGGGATGACCAATTCCTAATTCAATCAGTAAAAGAAAATTTGCGTAAATTTTAAATTAATTAAATTAGTTTGATCATCAACAAATGATCATGTTGTGTCATGATTTTCACGGCTTCCGATAAATGATTATCCTTTAAAATAGCACAAAATTATAACATTAATTCTTACAACATGCGACTTTATAATTCTGTCTAGTTCTTGCTTTTCAATTTCAAAAATGGAAAGTTGTATATTTGAATGTATAATATCCAGTTTTATATTAATTCTAATATGGGTACCATACATCCATGCATCGAAAAAAAATCTAATAAAAGTAAATTCTATATTCATATTCTGAGTCTAATAAAATAATTACCAATTAATATTAAAGCTTAAGATTATTTTAATAACGATATTTATTACATTATTCGAATTTATGAATTTTTTTAACGGGAAAATGAAGAAATACTGTAAATGATAAAACAGATCACGTGTACTACGGGAGTAGTATCAGTAGTACCGCTGTGAAATAATGAAATTTCTAGGAACAATCCAATTTAACGGAATTTGACAAGTTACTAACATTAAATATTCAAATTTCTAGGAAAACACGGGGAAAAATAATTAGCAATACATGTGACTTTTGGACTTCTGACGATCGTTATACCTAAGAGTAATCACGTGAGTGTAATATGTATTTTAAACAGAATTAATTCTGTATTTATAGTATTTTTAATTAAATTTGTCCAATATTTATTTAATATCAAAATTCAAAAGAGGAAAAAAAAAAGAAAAAATGAAATAGAAATAAATATAAAATAAATTTAATAATTTGACAAATCACAATCCGAAAATCCGTCTTCATTTTTTAATTCTTCAGTTAATTCATTTACTTGAAAATTAAAATTGATTTCAGGATTTACATCATTAAGTTCTGAAATTACTTGATTAATCTCAGGTCTTTCATCCGGTTCATTTTTCCAACATTCTATTTAAATAAATAAATCAAAATTAGATTACAATAAAAAAGAGTCTTAAAAAAAATAAAAAATTATAGCCATATTTTTGTACTTACTTTGATAAAGTTCAATAAATTTAACATTTGTGTTTGGAATAGATTTTTCTCGTACACCGTTAAGAATGGCTAAAGTGATAGCAATATAATCTTTTCTCGTTTCAAAATTGAAAGGTGACGAACAACTCGTTAATTGCCAGAATAATACTCCTAGACTATATATGTCTGATTTTTTAGTTAAATTATACGGAATTTCTGGATCAAGTATTTGTGGATCCATATAAGGAATTACGCCGTATGCTTTAGTATCGCAAGCTGATCCTTGTAAACATGAGCGTCCAAAATCAGTTATTTTTATTGTGTGCTGATGTACTAAGATATTATTGGGATGCTAAATAAAGAAATATTTAATATTTATATAAAAATAATTATAAAATAAGTGTCCGCTCGAAAAGTGGTTGATAAATAACTATAAGACTTACAAGATCTCGATGTATAATTTCATTATCATGTAAACATAAGACTCCACTCGCAATTTCTTTAGCAAATTTCAATTGACTTTCCCATTTAATAGTTGTAGCATTTTCCATTAAATATTTTCCTAATGTTCCACTATCCGCATATTCAAGAACAAGCGAATAATTCGTTTCATCTAAAAGAATAAGAAGGTACGTAAGCGCAAATAGCATTATGATATATTTATACATTTTTTTGCATAATTATTTACCTTTTATAATTCCACAGAATTTAATTATATTTGGATGAAAATCAACCATTTTCATTAAATTAATCTAGAAAATGAATAAAGAATTTTGAGTTTGCAAATTTTATAAAATAATAAAAAAATTTGTAATTTGTGCAAACCTCATTTATAATTTCTTTTTCCGTAGAAATCTTGTCAAATTTCTTAATCGCAAATTTTGATTGAGTGTTTTTCCAATACGCAGCATGAACCGAAGCAAACTCTCCAGAACAAATCACAGGAAGAACCTTAAAGTCATGTGATTCATAATTACGACATTCTTCGAGACGCAGCTGTAACAAGGAAGTTTTAATTGTCAAACAAAAAGATACTATTTCTGTACATACTTTTTTCTTTACACAGCACTATTCTTAAATAAGGAAAGGAATAAAGAATATGCTGTGTAAAAAAAAAAACCATTCTAAATTTTCCAAATTTAGATTTCTTGTGTAACTTGTTCGTGGCTTTTTTGACGGAATTTTTAAAATAACCAGGATTTTGATTAATCAGAACGATATCGTAGTATAAGCACACAACGAAATAGGTTTAAAAAGAGAGAAAGGAATTTAAGAAGTTTATTGCTTTTATTTTGGTTTGTTTAGGAAGCTAGAATTTTTTTATTAGTTATTTCGAGAATAATAAGACGCAAAATGCCCTCTTTTCTTTTTACGACTGTTTTTCTTTGTGTTTCGGCTAATAACTGATGCTATTTTGAGTTTTTTATTAGTAGGAGGTGTCTTTAGAGTTTCTCACTTTCTTCTGATTTTTGGAGAAATTCCGTCCTTAGGAGAGAGGAAACCCTTGGGAGAAAGAAAGTGAATATACCAAAATCAAAAGCAGCATGTAGATGAATGTTTATTAGAAATTGGGCTGAAAAATCAGGTTTTTTTTCTATTAGGCGTATGACCAAAAATATCATATCACCTGACTTCAGATTCAGCCAAGGATCACGGGACAAAGATTAATTGTTTTACGAAAACATCAACCAAATATTGATCAACTCCAAATTGATATTCGTTGGATAAGTAAATAGCAGTAATAGCTATTTCACTAGATATCATTGATTATCATGGTGGAACGTATATAATTTTGTTTAATTTAAAATCGAATAGATTTTAGCAACGTTGATATTACAGCTTTAAGAATTGTAATAGAATTTTTTTATTATAATTTGTTTTCCTGTCCCGAGTTTTACGATAATTCTTAAATGCCTAGACCGATCTATAACTTATGAAATGATATATTGCCCTATAAAAAATAAATGTCCAGAAAATGTCTACGAAAATGTCCGGAAATTGTCCAGAATAAATCTGGCATGTCCAGAAATTGTCCGGAAAATGTCTATTTTCTGCTACAAATTTGATACCTAAAATTTTGACATATCCGGACTTTGTCCAGAATATATCCAGAATTTGTCCAGTATAAAATTTTGGACAAATTCCGGACGGATAAACCTGGACAAATTCCGGACATAGTAAAAATTCAGATAATTTGAGCTGGACAAATTCCGGACATGAAAAAATTCTGGACAAATTCTGGACGCTACTTCCAAAAAAAGGATAAATTAATTTTGTAGAAAAATGCAAAAAGCACAAGACTGACATTCATAACCTTCTTTGTCATACTAATTAAATTTGCTGAGCAGGCAAAAATACTATATATCTATGATATAAAACTTTAAGTTAAAAGCAATTATAATGATGGTCACCTGTTGATCATCTTTTTGTGCCAAATTTTATGAAAAAATATTTCAGGTCAATTTCCGGACAAATTCTGGACAAAATGAGTGTCCGGAAACGAGTGTGTTTTCGGAACAATTTCTGGACATGGTACCTGGCATTTTCTGGACATTTTCCGGACAATTATTTAGACAAATTTTCCGGACAATTTCTGGACAATTTCCGGACACTTATTTTTTATAGGGATTAAAGACCAACTTTTTAATGATTATTGCTGTAAGAATTTTTGTTACCGTTCTATTATTACATAATTGGTTTTAACTATCATATAAATGTCATAATTTTGAGTTGTCTTGCAAAGAAATTTCATATTCTCCTTTAATAACTAATATAAATATACTGGTTAGTTGTATGATATTCGAATATTTTATCCGCTGGTTCATAAGAAGTAATATCAGTATAACAATTTTAAAGTTCTCAAAATTCATAGATATGATCCAAATCAAGAATTTAGTTCCGTCCAGCTTTGTTTGTTTAAATCAAAGAAAATTGTAAATGATTAATCAATTAAGTTATGATATCTGCAATATCATAATTCTTCACGATAAATAAACCGTTTACTTCAAACAACTTTTACATAATGGTCCAATAGTACGTAATATTTATTTATCACCAATTATTAAACATCATTATAATTTAATTAAAAAACTAGTAAGTTTTACAGGAACTTTACTAATATACTTTACAGTCGTTACATCTTACGAAAAAAAAAATTCCAAGTTTTGCAAAAATTAAGTTAACTAATTAAATATTATAATTTGAACATGTTTTTCCTTAACTTACACTAATTGTAGTGCGTGTTTTAGGTAACGTTATTTAGTACAAATTCAATTTTGATGGCGATGCCGGACAAAATAGTCGTATAAAGATGAACGAATAAATATATAATTTTCTGTTATTGAGCTTATAATATTAAGATATAAAATGCTATGAAACAATTTCACAATTAAAAGGAGAAAATCAATTCACTTTATTCATTTTTCGAAATTTTGAAAAAACTTAACATACAAAGAAGTAATAAAAATACATTTATAATTAATAAATATTAAATACTAATTATTTTTGTAATTTGGAATACTTCAATTTCTTCTACAGAAAAATTGTCTCCAGTTTCTCTGATTGGTTTTTCATAATCACGTTTTACACAATAACTACTACCAAAAAAATTGTTTCCATACAAAACAAGGTCATCATTACCAAAGTATGGACCATAATTATACTCATTCCATATAGCATAATTTCCATTCACTACACGACTTAAAATATAATTTTCAATACTATCACTATTTTCAAAGGAGAATATAAAACTATCTCTAGTGCTGCCATAACCTCTAGCAGATTTCCATTCAATTGGATTATATCCTCCAAGAATTTTGTCACTATCTTTCACTTTAACGATCGTTATAGTACGAGATTGATTATCACAGATTTCATGAAATTTATTAGCGGAAAACCCATCACGAGATCCACGAAGCATCAATTTGAATTCATACAAAGCAATTAAATCGTCTGTGATATCTAATCTATCAATCCATTTTGAAATTAATTCAACATGTTGAAATGTAATAATTTTTGAATCGATTGTTTCAAAATTATTACGGGGTTTTGATTTACCACTTAGTTTGCTATTAGGATGTAAGTTTAAAAAAGATTTCAATAAATCCATGTATAATTCTTTTGGTAAAATTTTTTTAAAAGGTAATACTTTATCAGAAAACTCTTGAGAAGTTAAATTATAAAATCTAACAAAAGGAATACATTGTTGTAACGTATTTTTTAATAAATTAAAATCATTTTTTGAAAAATTTGTAAGATGAGAAGGAAGTTCGGGATTTTGAGCAAATCCCCATTTAAGTACATGTTCCCAAACCTGAATTTCTTTCATCTGAAGATTATCATTTTGAACAAGCGAAATCAAAACTTTTTCCGGAATTAAAGAGAAATTAAGAGATTTGAATAACTCTACTGGTTTCTTTGATATAAGATTATTACAATATTTTTGAAGTTCCAAGAAAGAATCATTTTCAAAACTTGTTTGATATACCAGATTAAAATTTTGTTCTATCCAGCTTGTTTTGTTTTTAACCAAGAAGGATTGCAAATAGTTGTTCAATTCCTGAAGGCTTAATTCGTTAGCAGTAACCAAAATTTTGAAGATATCAGAAATGTCATATTCTTCCAAAGTAAGTTTTCCTCCATAAATATACCTACGTATGTATGAAAAATTTTAATCGCTCGGTTTACGGTATTTATCTTATAATTTAATTTTTTTCTTACCTTAAAATTATCTGAAAAATTTCAGGTGAAATATTAGGTAATTTGATATGTACCAAAGTTCCATCATTTTTCTTTTTATTTGTTGATAAAATTCTTCGTAAATAAGGAGAACGATAATTTAATATAACCATATGAGCTTTAAATATTTTTACGTTAGGGTCATTACCAACTTCAATAGTAATATCATAATATTCCTCGTCATCCAAAATCTCAAGCAAATGTTGTGATAATTTTGGTAAAAACTCCATTATAAGTGAATTTATTAGAAAAAAAAAAATTTTTTTTTTAATCCTAATTTGTAAAATGTTCAGCCATTATATATTATTTATGGGATCGTCAATTAGTGCGACTAAAAAAATATAAAATTGGAAATAATTCATATTTTCCTGAACAAATATTTTTCTTTTTTTTTACTCAAATCACAATCATTTTTGATGATTATCAATCAATAAATACAAAACAAGGTCAGAATTACCAAATGTTGGATCGCAACTCTGATGATACCATATAGCTCTATTTTCATCCACTACACGACTTAAAACATAATTTTCAGTGATATCACTGCTTTCAAAGGAGAATATAAAAATATGTTTGGTGCTACTATAACCACCACTAACGTATTTCTATTCAATCGGGGCGTATCCTCCAAGAATTTTGTCACTACCTTTCAATTTTACAATTGTTATAGTACGAGGTTGGTTATCACAAATTTCATGAAATTTATTAACGGCAAACCCATCACGAGATCCACGAAGCATCAATTTGAATTCATACAAGGAGGTAAATCGTCTGTGATATCTAATTTACCAATCCATCTTGAAATTAATTCAACATGTTGAAATGTAATAATTTTAGAATCGATTGTTTCAAAATTATTACGAGGTTTAGATTTACCACTTAGTTTGCTATTAGGATGTAAATTTAAAAAGATTTCAATAAATCCATGTATAATTCTTTTGGTAAAATTTTTTAAAAGGTAATACTTTATCAGAAAATTCTTTGGAAGTTACATATAAAATCTAACAAAAGGAATACACTTTTGCAACGTATTTTTTAATAAATTGAAATCATTTTTTGATACTAAATTTGTAGAATCAGAAGCCGAGGAAGTTCGGGATTTTGAGCAAATCCCCATTTAAGTACATGTTCCCAAACATAAGATTATCATTTTGAACAATCGAAATCAAAACTTTTTCCGGAATTAAAGAGAAATTAAGCGATTTGAATATCTTACCTGGTTTCTTTGATATAAGATTACTATTACAGCATGTTTGAAGTTCCAAGAAAGAATCATTTTCAAAACTTGTTTAATATACTAGGTTAAAATTTTGTTCTATCCAACTTGCATTGTTTTTAACCAAAAAGGATTGTAAATAGTTGTTCAATTCTTGAAGGCTTAATTCGTTAGCAGTAACAAAAATTTTGAAGATATCGGAAAATCATATCTTCTAAAGTAAGTTTTCCCCATAAATATATCTAAGATAAAAACGTACGTATGAATAATTTTAATCGCTCGGTTTACGGTATTTATCTTTTAATTTAATTTTTTTCTTACCTTAAAATTATCTGAAAAATTTCAGGTGATATATAGGTAATTTGATATGTAATAAAGTTCCATCATTTTCCTTTTTAAAATTCTTCATGAATAAGGAGAACGATAATTTAATATAACCATATGAGGTTTAAATATTTTTACGTTAGGGTCATTACCAACTAACTTCAATAGTAATATCATAATATTCGTCGTCATCCAAAATCTCAAGAAGATTTTGTGATAATTTTGGTAAAAACTCCATTATAATTTATAAGTGAATTTATTAGAAAAAAATATTTTTTTTTAATCAAATATTCAGCCATTCAGTATATATTATTTGCGGGATCGCTATCTAGTGCACGTGCCAATTACAACTTGGCAGGTTATTAAACTCATAAATTTAGAAAAGCTAATATATATTTTTTTAACTTCAGTTACACATAGTGTGCACGTTTTAGGTAACGCTTAATTGATAGCAGGGAAAATAGTTGTTTGGAGATGAAATGAATTTTCTTTTTTACTCTTCTATGATGCTTACCAACCAATGAATACATTCAATCCACTTAGAATATACGTAATTGAAACATAAAAAAAATGAATCAGCTTCACAATTAAAGAAATGTAATTGGATTCATTTTATTATTTCTCGACATTTTGAAAGGACTTAAATACAAAATATACAAAAGTAACTAAATACATATATAAAATATAACACTAATTTTTTATAATTTGAAATATTTCATATTCTTCAACAGAAAACGTATCTTCAGTTTTTCTGATTTTTTTTTCATAAGTACCTTTTCTACAATAACTTTCATTATAAAAATCGTTTCCATACAAAGCAAAGTCATAACTGCCAAAATATGGACCGTAATAGCAACCATTCCATATGGCGCAATTTTCATTCGCTACACGACTTAAAATATAATTATCAATACTATCACAATTTTCAAAGGAGAATATAAAACTCTCTTTGGTTTTACTATAACCATTAATAACATCACTCCATCCAACTGGATTGTATCCTCCAAGAATTTTGTCACTGTCTTTCACTTTAACAATTATTATAATACGAGGTTGGTTATCGCAGATTTCATGAAATTTACTAGCCGCAAACCCATCACGAGATCCACGAAGCATTAATTTAAATTCATATGAAGAAGCTAAATAGTCCGTAATATTTAATTTATCAATCCATTTTGAAATTAATTCAAAATGTTGAATTGTGATAATTTTTGAATCAATTACTTTTGTATCAATATCGATATTATTACGAGGTTTTGATTTGCTACTTGGTCTACTATAAGGATGTATGCTTAAAAAGGTTTTTAATAAATCCATGTATAATTCCTTTGGTAAAATTTTTTTATAAGGTAATACTTTGTCAGAAAACTCTTGAGAAGTTAAATTATAAAATCTGACAAAAGGAATACATTGTTGTAACGTATTTTTTAATAAATTAAAATCATTTTTTGAAAAATTTGTAGGATCAGAAGGAAGTTCGGGATTTTGAGCAAATCCCCATTTAATTACTTGTTCCCAAACCTGAATTTCTCTCATCTGAAGATTATCATTTTGAACAAGTGAAATCAAAACTTTTTCTGGAATTAAAGAGAAATTAAGCGATTCGAATAAATCTACTGGTTTCTTTGATATAAGATTATTACAATATGCTTGAAGCTCCGAGAAAGAGTCATTTTCAAAACTTGTTTGATATACTAGGTTAAAATTTTGTTCTATCCAGCTTGCATTGTTTTTAATCAAAAAAGATTGTAAATAGTTGTTCAATTCCTGAAGGCTTAATTCGTTAGCAGTAACCAAAATTTTGAAGATATCGGAAATATCATGTCCTTCCAAAGTAAGTTTTCCTCCATAAATATATCTAAAATAAAAAAAACGTATATGTATGAAAAATTTTCATCGCTCGGCTTACGGTATTTATTTTATCGTTATAAATTTTAAATTAATTTTCTTACCTTAAAATTATCTGAAAAATTTCAGGTGAAATATTAGGTAATTTGATATGTACCAAAGTTCCATCATTTGTCTTTTTATTTGTTGACAAAATTCTTTGCAGATAAGGAGAACGATAACTTATTATAACCATATGGGCTTTAAATATTTTTACGTTAGGGTCATTACCAACTTCAATATTAATATCATAATATTCATCGTCATCTAAAATTTCAAGCAAATTTTGTGATAATTTTGGTAAAAATTCCATTATAAATGATTTTTAATATTAAATAAAAAAAAAGAAAAAATTTTTTTTTTCTGATTTGTGAAATGGTTCAACCTTATATATTATTTGCGGGATCGTCAATTAGTGCACGTGCCTATTACGACTTGGAAAAAAAAATGCGAAAACGAAAACTCATAGTTAAATACATAAATTGGGAAAACTTCATATTTTTCCTGAACAGATATTTTTTTTCTCAATATCATAATCATCCGTCTTTGATGATTACCAACCAATAAATTAAGATACCTGTAAAAAAAGTCGATCCGTTTTTATATCCCATTTTTTCTCCGTAAAAGGTTCCGGAATTAATAACCTTATATCACGGAATTTATTGAATTATTTACATATTCCGTAAATGGATCCGTGAAAGGCTCATTTTACGGAGTTTTTACAGAAATAACGAATAAAATTTTTTATAGGGATAATTATGCTATTGATCAGTATTTTATTTTGCAAGGTCGTTGAAATGTAGATCTTATTGCTTATTTATTACGATTTACGACTTTGAAAACGAATTTTATAAAAACTGACGATTAGTTCATAAATTTGTGCACATTTTAAATAACGTTAGTATGTTTGAAGACGAAACGAATTTTTTTTAGCTTCTTCTGTGATGATTATCAATCAATGAATACAATCCACTTTAATTAAAAATATAAAGACTTAACAATTAAAAAAAAAGAGGTTCGCTTATTTATTTCTCAAAATTTTGAAAGAACTTAATACATACAAAGAAGGCGCAAAAAATATATATAATATTCAATAATAATTTTTTATAATTTGAAATACTTCATATTCTTCTACAGCAAATACTTCTCCAGTTTCTTTGATTGGTTTTTCATAATCACTTTTTTTACAATAACTTCCATTATAATAATCGTTCCCATACAGGACAAGATCACTACTACCAAAATATGGACCATAATTATGACCACTCCATATAGCATTATTTTCATTCTTTACACGACTTAAAATATGATTTTCAATACAATCGTTATTTTTAAAGGAAAATAAAAAACTATCTTTAGCGTTGCTATAACCACCAGCAGATTTCCATTCAATTGGATTATATCCTCCAAGAATTTTGTCGCTGCCTTTCACTTTAATAATTGTTATAGTACGAGGTTGGTTATCACAAATTTCATGAAATTTACTAACGGAAAACCCATCACGAGATCCACGAAGCATTAATTTGAATTCATATGAAGAAGATAACTTGTCTGTAATATCTAATTTGTCAGTCCATTTTGAAATTAATTCAAAATGTTGAATTGTAATAATTTCTGAATCGATATAATTACGAAGTTTTGATTTGCCACTTGGCCTACTATTAGGATGTAAATTTAAAAAAGTTTTCAATAAATCTATGTATAATTCCTTTGGTAAAAGTTTCTTATAAGGTAATACTTTAGCTGAAAATTCTTTAGAAGTTAAATTATAAAATCTAATAAGAGGAATACATTGTTGTAACGTATTTTTTAATATATTAAACTCATTTTTTGAAAAGTTTGTAGGATCAGGAGGAAGATCGGGATTTTGAGCAAATCCCCATTTAAGCAACTGCTCCCAAACCTGAATTTCTCTCATCCGAAGATCATCATTTTGAATAATTGAAATCAAAACTTTTTCTGGAATTAAGGAGAAATTAAGCGATTTGAATATCTTATCTGGTTTCTTTGATATAAGATTATTACAATAATTTTGAAGTTCCATGAAAGAATCATTTTCAAAACTTGTTTGATACACCAGGTTAAAATTTTGTTCTATCCAGCTTGCATTATTTTTAATCAAAAAGGATTGTAAATAGTTGTTCAATTCCTGAAGACTCAGTTCGTTAGCAGTAATCAAAATTTTGAAGACATAAGAAGTATCATATTCTTCCACAGGAAGTTTTCCTCCATAAATATACCTAAGATAAAAAAACGTATGTATGAAAAATTTTTATCGTTCAACTTAATTTATCTTACATATAATTAATCTTTTCTTATTTTCTTACCTTAAGATTATCTGAAAAATTTCGGGCGAAATATTGGGTAATTTGACATGCATCAAAGTTCCATCATTTTTTTTTTTATTTGTTGACATAATTTTTCGCAAATAAGGAGAACGATAATTTATTATAACCATATGGGCTTTAAATATTTTTACGTTAGGGTCATTGCCAACTTCGATATTGATGTCATAATATTCTTCGTCATCTAAAATTTCGAGTAAATTTTGTGATAATTTCGGATAAAACTTCATTATACTGATTTTATAGTACTTATAATACAAATAAAAAAGAATAAAAAAAAAGAAGAAAAATTTTTTTTTTTTAATCCTAATTTGTGAAATGTCAATCTTATATAAATTCGCAAAGATCGTCGAACCTGCAGATCTTAGTATATTACTATTAGAAAAAAAGTACGTTAACAAATCTTGGATTCACGCAGTTGGCGCAGCGTACTTCTAAATTTCGGTTGAAAGTATTTTTATAAGATCACATATAACTTTATAGGTTGCGCACAAAGTTTTATGGATAACGTGCGCTTTGTGCGTACTATGTGCGTATAAATTTCCAACATTGCTGACAATTAAACACATAAATTTGTAATAATTCCATATTTTTTTTCTTAATTCTTAACTTACACTGGGTTTGCGCGTCTCACTATCGGTAATATTATTAGTTAATGGCGGTAAAATAGTCGTAATGTTTAATTTGTGATTTATCAGTAAATCATAAAATTTTGATTATTAAAGGCGACGATAATTAGTAACTTAGAATCTACCATTTCAGCAGATAGTAATCTTTTTCTATCGAAACAGACATGAAGTCATTACCATTAAATGCGACATTATGAGACGAACCTTACGAGCTATTTTACCCTTCCATGCAATAACTGACGACGACTCGGCGTGTTATCCTTAAATTTTTAAAATCATTGAATCACGTTTTTTTTTGGAAGGAGAATAGTTAAATAACATATTTCATATTACATATAATCAATATTTTATATTTTGTATTGCCGGAACCGCAGATTCAGACTATAAATTATCTATCTTTGCCAGATTTTTACTCATTTTATGGTGATTATGAATTAACAATTATAATTTGATTACTTTCGCTTAGAATATAGTTAAAACTCATTTATTTGTTAATTAAAATATTAAAAGAGATTATAGAATTATCTATTCGATATTAATTATTCATTCATTGCAAATTTGAAATACTTCATATTCTTCTACGGAAAATACTACTCCAGTTTCTCTGATGTCTTTTTCATAAGTGTATTTTATACAGTAACTCCCATCATAAGAATTGTTTCCACATAAAACAAGGTCGGAATTACCAAAATATGGACCATAATTAGGACCATTCCATATAGCATTATTTTCATTCTTCACACGACTTAAAATATGATCTTCAATACTATCACTATTTTTAAAGGAGAATATAAAACTATCTTTAGCGTTGCTATAACCACCAGCAGATTTCCATTCAATTGGATTATATCCTCCAAGAATTTTGTCACTACCTTTCACTTTAACAATTGCTACAGTGCGAGGTTGGTTATCACATATTTCATGAAATTTACTACCGGAAAACCCATCACGAGATCCACGAAGCATTAATTTGAATTCATATGAAGAAGCTAAATCGTCTGTAACATCTAATTTATCAATCCATTTTGAAATTAATTCAAAATGTTGAATTGTAATAATTTCTGAATCAACATAATTACGAGGTTTTGATTTGCCACTTGCCCTGCTATTAGGATGTAAATCTAGAAAAGTTTTCAATAAATCACTATATAATTCCTTTGATAAAATTTTTTTGTAAGGTAATACTCTATCTGAAAATTCTTTGGAAGTTAAATTATAAAATCTAATAAGAGGAATACATTGTTGTAACGTATTTTTTAATATATTAAAATCATTTTTTGAAAAATTTGTAGGATCAGGAGGAAGGTCGGGATTTTGAGCAAATCCCCAATTAAGTACATGTTCCCAAACCTGAATTTCTTTCATCTGAAGTTCATCATTTTGAAGAACTGCAATCAAAACTTTTTCTGGAATTGAAGGAAAATCATGCGATTTGAATATCTTATCTGGTTTCTTTGATATAAGATTATTACAATATTTTTTAAGTTCCATGAAAGAGTCATTTTCAATACTTGTTTGATATACTAGGTCAAAATTTTGTTCTATCCAGGTTGCATTGTTTTTAACCAAAAAGGATTGTAAATAGTAGTTTAATTCTTGAAGGCTTAATTCGTTAGCAGTAACCAAAACTTTGAAGATATCAGAAATATCATATTCTTCCACAGGAAGTTTTCCTCCATAAATATATCTAAGATAAAAAAACGTATGTATTACTCGCTCAACTTATTTATCTATAATTTAATCTTTTCTCTTACCTTAAGATTATCTGAAAAATTTCGGGTGAAATATTAGGTAATTTGATATGCGTCAAAGTTCTATCATTGTTTTCCTTATTTGTTGACAAAATTCTTCGCAAATAAGGAGAACGATAACTTAATATAACCATATGGGCTTTAAATATTTTTATGTTGGGGTCATTACCAACTTCAATAGTGATGTCATAATATTCTTTATCGTCTAAAATTTCGAGTAAATTTTGTGATAATTTCGGTAAAAACTCCATTATAACTGATTTTATTATGTACGTTATGATAGTAATGGTAATAGGACAGTTTTTTTTTTTTTTTTTTTTTTTTTTTTTTTAGGAAAAATTTAATGGAACTTTGGAAATAAAGGACCATTTCAGTAGGTAAGGTTAGGTGAAAGTATTTTTTTGTAAAGAATATTAAAAACATTTCTAACGTCCTTGTTTACTTTTAATTGGGGAAAATGAAACAGAACCATTGGAAATAAAGGCCCATTTTGGTAAGTAAAGTGATAGTGAGGGATTTTTGTTGTAAAGAACGTTAAAACGTTTCTAACGTTCTAACGTTCTTGGTTTCTTTTTTTAGGCCATTTCGGTAAGGTGAGGAGATAGGATATTTTTTTTGTGAAGAACACTAGAATGTTAACGTTTCTTTTTTATGTAAGAATGACTCTTCCTTGAACTTGCATTTAGAATTTGGCATATTGTAATTTATTATTAATGTGTTTTTGTTAAATGACATGTATTAACTCTCTTTTCTTTTATTTTTAACTATATTTCGTCCCCGTATTTGATCTTTGGTATGTATTTGATTTTTGGGTACATCACGTTCTTGATCTTTGAATGTAACATGATCTTTATCTTTGGAGTATTGTGGTTTTGACCTTTGGTGTATATCTGATATTATTTTCTTAATTTTTTTGATGTGCATTGTGTTCTTATTCTTTGGGTATATTATGTATTCTCGATCTTTGTCGTATTATATTCTTGATCTTTGGATGCATCACATTCCTGATATTTGGTATGTCTTTATCTTTAAGTAATTATAATAAAATGTCATAAACAGTGAATGGTTGCTTTAGGGTGGCTTTACACTAATCCTAATCTCTGTTCTTACTATTCAAATAGAGCAGCATTACGCAATGTGTACTATTGTATGGTTTCACTATCTTAAAATAAAAATAAAATGATTTATTTTAACAAGAATGTATTTATAAATTTTCAATAAGTAAGATCCATACGTTGTAAGACCATATAAGAGATGAACAAGTAAAGAAAAAAAAGCTATTTAAATGTATATTGCAAGAAAAAATCAAAATTAAAATAAAAAAACTAGAGACAAGATCCGTCATCCGTTTGAATTTTGTGATTTAAAGTTACAAATGAATGTTTGAAAAAAAAAATTTTGAATAAATATTCTTTGAGAATTGATGTTTTTAGCGTAAAATTTATTTCGATTTATATATAGCAATAGATTCGCTATATACAAATTATACTTTGGATATCGGTTATCCGAATATCCATTGGATATATATATATATATATATATATATAATATATATATATCTAAATCAATTACCGTATTTTGCGGGTCACATTACCCCCCTATGCACAGTACCCTACAAAAAAGAACTCCCATTTTCTACCGATTTTATTATTTAAAATAATTTAATAAATACCTAGGTATTAAGCATGATAAATACCCAATTATTATATAAGTTTTGTACATATCTACTAATAATAAAAACTCACGCAATGGTGGGGGTATAAGGTCAAAACCCCTGAAATCTGTATCATACCCGGGGTACTGTGGCCCTACTACAAATAAATTTTATAATTCTTTGTCATTATAGATAGTCATTGGCTCCATTTAATCTGCGGGTCACTATCTATAAGTCTGAACGATCTTTAAAATTATTAATATCCACTCAAACAACGGATCCAACCTCTAACAAAAACACATGATGTTCTATGATTTTGCCAAGAGATCAGAATTATTCCATTATCATAATAAAAGAATAAAACGGAATTTTTATGAATTTTAATAATTCTATTCAGGCGCCAATCATTATTGCAGATTTTATTGACTTTATCCATCAAAAAATTATTTCCGATTTGCCGTGTTATTAGCACTGCAGCACAATCTAGGTAAGCCCGCATTAAGATGTGAGCGGGCTAAAATTATCAAATATTTCTTACTATAATTAGTAAAATTGACAAAATTTGTCGCGTGTTTTATCCGAAGGACGATGATGATAGAGTCATGCCAAGCCTTAATGCACAATACCATTTATTCTTCCTACAAAAAAAAATCATAAAAATTACATAATATACTGTACAATCCTAATTTCCGTAAATTTGAAATATTTTTTCTTTTAAAACTCTCTCTCTCTTTATTATAAATCGTTATGATAGTTTTATTTTTGTACTTTCACATGTCTACTTCGTTGTGTAGTTTTTTACTAACATCTTAAAAGCTTTTAGTTTAACTAAACATATCATTCAAACATAATAACAACGATCATCAGTACATCCTGTCATTTTTTTTATTTTTCGAATCCTTATGAAATCTGTAAAATTTGAAATATTTCATAATCTTCTACGGAAAATATTTCATTATCTCTGACTCTTCTAGTTTCTCTGATTGGTTTTTCATAATCTCTTTTTTTACAATAACCTTTATCATAAAAACGATTTCCAAACAAGAAAAGGTCCGAATGACCAAATGATGGACCATAATTACAACCATTCCAAATACCGTTCCATATAGCGTTAAATACATCCTCTACACGACTTAAAGCATAATCTTCAATACTATCACTATTTTCAAAGGAGAATATAAAACTATTCTTAGTGGCGCTATAACCACTAACAGAACTCCATTCAACTGGATTATATCCTCCAAGAATTTTGTCACTATCTTTCACTTTAACGATCGTTATAGTACGAGGTTTATTATCACAGATTTCATGAAATTTATTAGCGGCAAACCCATCACGAGATCCACGAAGCATTAATTTGAATTCATATGAAGAAGCTAAATTGTCTGTAATATCCAATTTATCAATCCATTTTGAAATTAATTCAATATGTTGAATTGTAATAATTTTTGAATCGATTAATTCCGGATAATTATCGATATTATTATGAGGCTTTGGCTTTATACCACTTGGTCTGCTATCAGGATGCAAATTTAAAAAAGTTTTCAATAAATCCATATACAATTCCTTTGGTAAAATCTTCTTGTATGGTAATACTTTATCGGAAAATTCTTTAGAAGTTAAATTATAGAATCTAATAAGAGGAATACATTGTTGTAACGTATTTTTTAATATATTAAACTCATTTTTTGAAAAGTTTGTAGGATCAGAAGGAAGTTCGGGATTTTGAGAAAATTCCCATTTAAGTACATGTTCCCAAACCTGAATTTCGCTCATCCGGGAATTATCATTTCGAACAAGTGAAATTAAAACTTTTTCTGGAATTAAAGAGAAATTAAGCGATTTGAATATCTTATCTGGTTTCTTTAATATAAGATTATTACAATATGTTTGAAGCTCCAAGAAAGAATCATTTTCAAAACTTGTTTGATATACCAGATTAAAATTTTGTTCTATCCAGCTTGCTTTGTTTTTAACCAAGAAGGATTGTAAATAGTTGTTCAATTCCCGAAGGCTTAGTTCGCTAGCAGTAACCAAGATATCAGAAATATCATATTCTTCCAAAGTAAGTTCTCCTCCATAAATATACCTAAGATAAAAAAACGTATGTTATGAAAAATTTTTATCGCTCAACTTATTAATTATTATCTTATATAATTTAATCTTTTTTTACCCTTAAAATTATCTGAAAAATTTCAGGTGAAATATTGGGTAATTTGATATGTACCAAAGTTTCATCATTTTTCTTTTTATTTGTTGATAAAATTCTTCGCAAATAAGGAGAACGATAATTCAATATAACCATATGAGCTCTAAATATTTTCACGTTAGGATCATTACCAACTTCAATAGTAATATCATCGTCATCTAAAATTTCAAGTAAATTTTGTGATAATTTTGGATAAAACTTCATTATACTGATTTTTTAATAAAGGCAAAAAAAAGTTACATGTAAAAATTTTTTTTCTAATTTGTGAAGTGTTAACTTATATATTATTTGCGAGATCGTCGAACCTGTGCTCTCAACGCTCCTTTCGCTATCGATTCTCAATCTAATCAAGATATAAGCCATGTGTCTCCCCCAGTCCCCCTGCGAGATCATGAAGATCGAACCAATTAAATTTGATCTCAGCTGACTGCGGTATATCCTAGTTCCTACTTCGTCAATTTATCATGTTGGTCTCCTTTTTCTCTCTCTTCCTATCTAACAAATGATCGTTACCGTATTTCTCCTTTTTGCGTGTGTTCTACAATTTTCCAGCAAGTTCTATTTTGTCTTTTACTTTTCACCGCCGATAATGCTATGTAATGATATTTCATTTACAAATCATTCACCTGATTTTATGTTATCACTCTCATTTTTCATAATAATTCTTCCGTTCTCTTCCTCTTGTATTAAATTTTACCTTCACTTCTCTCTTTCCTTACTCACGACTAAAGGTACTAATTTAGCATACCCGTTTTGTGAGCGCGATTTATAATTTCACGTGTCGTTGTGATAGATAAATTTATATTTATCTCAGCTATCTAGTTTTTTTTTGGTGCCTGATTTCTGAACAGGATAGATTATTTTAATTTTATGCCTGTGTTATTGTTTATGAATCTTTTTATGTACCTATTTTTTCGTCGTATTTCTTTGTATATGTAACACATTTTGATATTAATAAAGTTACAGCATGATAGAGCTGATTTAGAGATGATTAACATACAAATTTGGGAATACTTCCATATTTTTCTTTTTTTCTTAACTTACACCAGGTTTGCGCGTTTTACAATCAGTAACATTAAATTAGTTAGTTGATGATGACTAAATTAGTTGTATGTGAATGAATATTACTTTTCTTCTGATGGAAATTGAATCTACCATTCCAGTGCGATAACTCGCCTTCTATTGATCACAAAAACCCTGTAAAAAATCTGATCCGTGTTTTATCTTTCCATGTTTTTTCCGTGAATGTATCATTTTCATGGAATTTATAGCCTTAAATCATGGAAATTTTCATCTCGCTAACACGGATATCCGTGAATGTATCATTTTCACGGAATTTTTACGGAAGACACGGAGAAATAATGGAAATATTCGGATAAAAATTTTTTATAGGGAAACATGAAATTATTACCATTAGATATGCCGTGAATTTTTTTTTTTGTTAGTAACGCACATTTCTTAATACAAATTACACTACAATAAAGCAAATACAAAGTCACGAAAAAAATTCGAATTATCTACTAACGCTAGTTTAATATACTAGCTGTAGCTAAAGCTACTAATATGAATTTCCAATGAAAAAAATAATAAAAACAAATGGAGAGGATAGTGAAGAGCCTTCTTATGCGGTATGAAGTTTAGCGTTACCGTGTACACTAGATATGCTATGATGAGACAAATTCTGAGCTAAATTTCATCCTTTCACGATCAATGGACGGATGGACGGCAAGTTGTATTTTAATAATCTAAAATTATTAATCACGTTTTTTTTTTAAGTTTAACTTTTCAGCTTTTAGGAAGGAGTCTATAAATTCTTAAAAAATAAAAATTTACTCGACTTATACATTTTAATTATCTGTACTTTGAACTGCCGGAACTGCACATGGGTGGGCTAGGTTAATAATAAAACTATATAATAACTTTTACCAGATTTTAAAAAGCAAAAACAACTCATTTTATTTATTTCTTTAACGTTTTAAAAGAAGTTACAAAACTATCTATATAATATTAATCAATTCTTTGTGATTTGAAATACTTCATAATCTTCTACAGAAAATAATTCTGAAGTTTCCCAGATTAGACTTTTATAAACACCTTTTCTACAATAACTCGCACAAAAATTGTTACCTTCCAAAATAAGGTCATAATTACCAAATGATGGACCGTAATAATGATTATTCCATATAGCATGATTTTCATCCGCTACACGACTTAAAACATAATTTTCATTACTATTTATACTATTTTCAAAGGAGAATATAAAACTCTCATTAGTATTACTATAACCACCAATAGCGGAATTCCATCCAATTGGATTGTATCCTCCAAGAATTTTGTTAATTCCTTTCACTTTAACAACTGTTATAGTACGAGGTTGGTTAACACAAACTTCATGAAATTTATTATTAGATAACCCATCACGAGAACCACTAATCATTAATTTGAAATCGTATGAAGAAGTTAATTTGTCTGTAATTTCTAATTTATCAATCCATTTTAAAATTAATTCAACGTGTCGATTTGTAATTATTTTTGAACCAATATTATTACGAGGTTTTGATTTACCACTTGGATTGCTATTTGGATGTAAATTTAAAAAAGTTTTTAATAAATCCATATATAATTCCTTTGGTAAAATTTTCCTATAAGGTAATACTTTATCAGAAAATTCTTTAGAAGTTAAATTATAGAATCTAATAAAAGGAATACATTGTTGTAATGTATTTTTTAATATATTAAAATCATTTTTTGAAAACTTCGAATAATCAGCAGGAAGTTCAGGATTTTGAGCAAGTCCCCATTTAAGCACGTATTCCCAAACCTGAGTTTCTTTCATTTGAAGATTATCACTTTTGACAAGTGAGATCAAACCTTCTTCTGGAATTGAAGGAAAGCCTAATGAATTAAATATTTTATCCGGTTCTTTGAACATTAGATCATTACAATGATTTTGAAGTTCCGAAAAAGAATCATCTTCAAAACTTGTTCGATATACAAGATTAAAATTTTGTTCCACCCAGTTTGAATTATTTTCAATCAAAATAGATTGTAAGTGATTGATTAATCCTCGAAGTTTAAGTTCACTAGCAGCAACTAGAACGTTAATAATATCTGCTGAATCATTGCATTCTCCAAAAGAAAGTTTTCCCCCATAAATATACCTAAAACAAAATAAAAAATTTATGTGTGAAAAAATTTTACCAATTGCATTATATAATCTATAATTCAAGACTACTTACCTTAAAATTATTTGAAAAATTTCGGGCGAAATATTAGGTAATTTGATATGTTCATCGGATTTCGATTTCTTTTTATCAGTTGATAAAATTTCACGAAAATAAGGAGAACGATAATTTAAAATGAGCGTATGAGCTCGAAACTTTCTTATGTGAGGGTCATTACCAACTTCAATAATAATATCATAATGTTGGTTTTCATCTAAAATTTCGAGTAAATTTTCAGATAATTCTGGTAAAAATTTATTATCAACCATTATAACTGAATTTTCACAATTCAAAAAAAAAAAAAAAAAATTTTTTTTAATGAGCGAAAATGTCGACTAATTTGTATAAGGTCAACCCTATATATACGTAATATTTTGTAGATCATTATTGTGATGTTTTAATTGTTGCGGATTTATGATTCTTGAAAAATGATTCGAAATCAAATTATCAAATTTAATAATGATCTCCGGTAAATTTCCCTCATAAAGTAATTTAATTGACAAGTCCGATACGCCCGAGTCGCCCGATACGCCTTCAATATGACATTATTTTCACGTGACGTTAATTATGCATAAAAAAATCAATCATCCCGATTTAGGGTTGTTTAATTGGTAAATTTTAAAGGTTTGTATTAACCATTTTCGGTATAAAGAAAACTTTGTAATACTTAAATAGAGGATAAATCTTATATAGTTAAAAACCCACTTCTATTTTATAATTTAAAAAACTAAAATGAAGATTTATTGTTCGTATGAAGTTTAAAACCTTTGCGTCTATCGATATGAAATGAAGAATATTATTTGCTCACATTTTCGTTTAGAAAAAACGCGATATTTAATTTATATAATATACGTTTTATTTTTGCATGTATGGACGTTTCTAATTTTCAAAGGTACAAGATTTATAAATTTTCGAGAATCATTTTTGGCATTTTATTATTATATATAGATAATTCATAGCGATAATAGTGTAATTAGTGCAATTTAAATACTTAGGCAACTTATTTATGAGTATGATTTTACATTAATAAAATCTTCGTCACATTCGTTTTCATTGTCAAAGTACTCTCATTTACCATCATTCTCCACTGCAACGAAAGATTATTTAAATCGGTTAAGAGAACACCTTCATTTTTATGCAGTAGCAGAAATTCGGTTTTTAATGACAAAAAATGATGTGACGTGGACATTGGGGATGAAATAAAATTGAATCGTGTAACGGAAATAGGTTCAAAGGAATAATATTAAGTTTAATAAATATGAATCCAATTTTCAGTTTCTTTTTCCGCCATTTAAACTAATTATTCTATTGTTTTTAGTGGTGATTTATTTAGCCGATTATTTGAAAACAATGAAAATAAAAATAAAATATTATAGGGTTTATTCTACCCTTTAAAGCAGATTTGTTTTCCGAAAAATTATGGAAATTTTTAACTTTTTTTTTTCTTATTACAAATACTTACTTATAATTACAAGACACGGTATTTTACACTAAGCAAAAGTTGTATTTCGAAAATAACTAATATTTATTTATAAGATATAATAATATATTTTACAAAAAAAAAATACTTTTAAAAGAAATTCCACACTTTTCGATATATAAAAATTGATTTGATATATATATATATAAGTCAAAGATTATTAACCCTAGTGATATACTCTATATTTTATTAAAAGAGAAATTAATTATATGCATTGTTTAGAATGAAAAGACAAAATAAATTATTTACCGTTAATATGAGGTTGATTAAAATTTACGTTAAATATCAAGTTCAAATTCTTTCGTAAGGTAATCTAAGGAAAATATAAATTTCATTAATTTATATATTAAAATAATTTCATTTCACAATTTTATAATACCATTATTATTATTATCTTTAACTACTAAGCTTTCTTCGAACTTTCTTGTATCTTTAAAAGAAATAATGATAATTAATAATAATAGCAATAGATATTTAATAATAAAAATAAAAATAATAAAATGTATCTATATAATTAAAAAAGTTAAATAACCAATAAAAAAAAGGTAAACTTTAATATAAAAAATTTCTAACCTAATTCTAAATTAATGGATCGACTCTTTAAAGACATTGCGGAATAAATCATGTTACTTAAAGGCCTACTCTTATAAATGGCACCTGGATTATTTTTTACAAGTTCAATATCTGATGATTCTATAATTTTGGTTGGAATTTTTTTATTGGAATTTATTTCTTCATTTCTCCACATTTCTCGAATTTTTGAAAATGTAATATCAGCTGATGGTCTTTTCTCGGGATCGGAATGCCAACATTCTTTCATTAATTCAATATAACCTTCGGGTGCATTTGTTACAATTGGTGGGCGTAAACCATCGCATATGTCAAAAATAAGACATGTATCGTGATCTTCATCCCAAAAAGGTTTTCTACCTGTCATAAATTCCCACATAAGCATTCCATAACTGTATATATCTGAAGCTTCAGTATATTTTTGTCCTTGAAAAATCTCATGAGCCATATAAGGAATAATACCATAACTTTCATTATCATCTCCAGATTCAGTTACAGATTTACTAATTCCTAAATCACCTATATATGTGTGGTAATGATCGTTACAACCTTTTTTTAAAAGAATATTTCCACTATGCAAATCTCTGTGAATGATTTTGCATCCGTGCATGCCTCGAAGTCCGAATATTATTTGTCGTAAGATAGACAACTTACTTTTCCAGCAGATTTTGTAATAATCATTCTTAAGACAAGTTGACAAATCACCACAATCATAATATGGCATAATCATTATTAAATCTTTGGTAACATAATCTTGGGTGATTCCGAAATATTCACCAATATAAAGTATTGAAGAAAGCTTATAAAATATTTTGAGCTAATTAAAAAAAACTTGAACTCAGTTTATTTATCCTACATGAACATTTATTAATCAATATAAAAAACAAGGTTCAATTACCGTACCTCATTCAATTCCTTGGATGTAATGTTTTTAGAATTTTTAAGTTTTTTGAGAACTACTGTTTCATCACGCCGACGAACAATATTATCAATATTACTAGTATGCCAATCAGTCGAACCACCAACCCAAGTTGCTTTATAAACTTTGCTAAATCCTCCCTCAGCAATAAATTCTATAATTTTGAATTGATCGTAGGGAACGAACTTCAAATTTCTATATGAACAATTTGTTTGTGTGTATGTGATAAAATCGTCTATAACTGTGTTTCCACTTTGTTGAGGTTTAATTATAATTCTTGTTTTGTAACACACGTGACAGATCTGATGATTTTCATCTATTCTTCTTCTATTACATTGATTACATTTCTTATATAACTTTCTTATGTTAACTGTAGTTCGTATTGGTTGACTTAAAGGTATATTAAGTGCAATTTTACGTTTATATTTTGTCGATTTACTCGATTGTTCCATCATACATTAATTTATTTTGAAAAAAGTCAATTTGTTAGTTTGAGACATTTAAGAATTATGTTCAATTTATAAATGATAAAATTATATGAATTCTGTGCCGCAATTCCTTATAGAAACTTCTAATCGGAAATTGATAACTAATCTAGAACTGTATCTTGGAATAAATTCTTTCAAAGAATTCTTTCTATAAAAGTACATGCGATTGCACGATAATTTGATAAGATCATCAATGTAAATTTACGACGACGACAAAAAAACCTCATGACATTTTTGTAACACTACAAAAAAATAAGGTTACAAAAAAACTTTTTTTTATAGACAAACAAAATCGTATTAAGATATATGAAATTATCAAATTTATTAATTAATCCTTTATTAGTTAAAAAGATAAAACAAAAAAATATTGGCTTACATAATTTCCATGGAATTTCCATAGAATTCCGTAAATCTATCTATGAATAATAAACTGGTCATTGTAAAAATATTTAAATGATAATGATAATTACGATTAAATGATGGATTGATTATGCTTATAATAAATTATTTATATAAGTTTATTTTATGAAGAGAAATATTATTATTTAATACGTGATATTGATAAAAGCCAAAAGAGGTCGCGATATTTTTACTTGATAAAAAAAATTAGTGGAATAATAAATGATTACAAGACAAACTGGATATATTAGCCTAAATAATTGATACATACAAAATTTATTAATTAAGTTACAAGCAATTGACTATCTACATAAAAAAAAGCTTTATAATTTATTGTATCAGAACATTTATTTATTTAAATGCCCAAAACCTGCCCATTTTATTACTGTTAATAATCGTTCTTGGAAGTTAAGTTCAACTTCTAAGATATGATTGATTCCATAATTTCCATTGTTATCATACTTTTTTAATCTTTTTAATCTTATCAGTGTTTTGAAATTGAAGTCACGTGATCACTCCTTCACTCCTTCCAAAACTATATACGCCATAAAGACTATGAAATTACTAAAATAAATCCGTATCAATATTTTGATAATTTAACTATATTTGTTACGTAGCATATGTTATCTGTTATTGACACAATAAAAAGATTGCGCCTAGAACAATTGATATTGTTTCGGTTAGTTCATTTACCACTTTTCATTCAATGGCTATTATTTTCTCAAAAAACAAACACAACCTACTGATGAAAATCAGAATGAAGAATCATCATTCCGAAGCGCCAAAAAAAAAAAAGGAATTAAAATTCCGTCAAAAGCAGGTTTGAGTTTTTAATTTCTCAAACAGGAGAAAACTTTTAGAACTGCTGCTAACATATAAAAGTAAACAAATTTTTGTGATACCGAGACTTCCATTCTCAAGTAAGACGAAAGCAAAGGAAAATTTAATCCATAACAACCAATGAATATCCGACTTTTTGACCCATAAAATTTTTGGGTTTTTTCGGTCAAACGTGTTTCACCAATGGAATGGTTTTATTTTGCATATGACCGAAAAATGCAACCGAGTAATCCACATTATTTATGTAGTTGTAATTATATTTAGAAAATTATCTATTTTGGGAAATCGGAAACCATTAAAGCATTTAATAGTAAAAAAATATTGGTTAAAGTGGTACAGAAAAATATCGAACACTGAAAAGAGTAAAATCGAAAAAGAAAGGAAGCAAGTATAGCTTGTTCAAAAAGAAAATTGGAAGGAAGAAAGAAAGGAAGAAAATTAGGGGGTGTATGACCATACAACAAATAATCCTATCGCTCGTCAATTATGTTTGCGAGATGCAGCTGTCATAATAATTCCTACTACGCAAAAAAAAATTTTTGTTTTAAAAGCTTTTTCCTCGGTAAAATTAGATTCTACAATTACAATTAAGTTTTAATGTGCCGACGTTCCTAATTTTAAGATTAATATATTAAATGAGAGTTAAATTGAATAAAAATGTAATGGTTAAATATTTTATCTGATTTTTTGGATATAAGATTATACACTAATTTTGTATTACTTAGTATAATATTATTAATATAACAATTTGATATAGATTTATTATCAATTCATTCCTTAAGCATATCAGTAGTACAATAAAAAATTTTGTAACAAAATCACAATAATAAAATCTTTATTGTTCGTTCATGATGACGTAATTATGGTGATTCCGTTTTTGATCAAAGATTTTGATTAAGGAAGTTAAAAATATTACCATGAAACTGTTAACTGCTCAATATTAAGTTCTTTTGTGTTTAGCCAATCAAAAAAATGATATTTTATATTATACTATCTTAAGATTTAGAAGTTTATTTTGGTATATTCAATCTATAAGGAAGCGAATGCACTTGTTTATCTATGGGACTATGGGGAGGATAGTGTCTGTTAAGCATTTCCGACCTCCTTATATCATTAAAACTTATCATATAGGCGGTTATAATATTTGCTATAAGGTCAGTGGCACGGTATCTTACAAAATTTCCACCCACGTGACTCCTTTAAACAATAAAAAAAATATATTTTTGAGTGTAGAATATTGTTACAAAGCTATAGTTAATTTTTTTATTTACAATAGACGCGATTTTTTGTAGATGTTGCAATATTAATTTGAATATTTTAGCTAAATGAAGCAAGGTTTGAGCGCTTTTAACGAGTATGTATAATTGTATATTATCTTTGTGAAAATATTGCCATTTTTAAAGAAATTACTGGGTTGTATTCTTTTTTTTTTATTTTTAATGCAATAGTATGATAAACAACATTGATTACGTTAATTGATTGTGATAATAGAAAAGCAATAATAGTTATAATACTGTAAGACCAAACCAATTTTGATAACAATTTCGAATCAAAAATAAAGTATTTATAAATAAAATAAAGTAACCTATAAATATAATAATAATAATCTATTTTCAAAAAAACAACTTGCTTATAATAAATTTTATTAATAAATAACTTATTAATTAGTCATCTTAAAAAAGAAAAAATAAATAATTTTGTAACATTCTCTAAAATATTTAAACTTCCAAAGTCACAAACATATTTTGATATGATTAATAATCGAATTGTATGAAATTTTTAGAAGATTAAAATTATGCGTAGCACTTATAAAATTTTATTGGCAAAATTTTCATATAATACTTTTTCATACATATAATCATTTATTAAAAAACAAAGTATCGCCCCACCCTTGAGACAACTGCAACGAATAATTTATAAAAACTATAAATAAGAAAATTAATAGAAAATTGAATTTCGTAATTTATACGGTTGATTCGTGTTAAATTAAAATATTAATGGTAGTAAAAATTTGAAATTTTACAAATGTGAATTATTAATGTTTTTTTTTTATTAAAAAAAAAAATTTATATAGGGCATTGTCATGTCATATATTTTGTGTAACGTACAGTATATACAAGTTAGGATGATAATATAATCAATGAACTTATTTTTGTAATATAAAAAAAATCACTTGAAACATAAAGAACATATTATTAAATCGACTCGTTTATTAACCAAAAAATAACAAAACGTTTTCTTTTTTTGCCATATTACTAAAACTATTATAGTCCTTTTATTTCTCAATATCACGTTATTCACGTCCATTTTTAATTCAAAATTCAGAACCCTCTTACTATTGATAAATGAACCATACCCTAAATAAAACGCGAAAATATCCCTAAAAAAAAAAATCAGATAACCTTTGTAAATAAAGAAAATTCATAAAAAGCATATCATGATATCATACGTGCATATGGGTTACTCAAAATTCCTGTGTACGCGTTTTCTCACATTTAATATGATTCGAGATTTCCTATGAATACTTCTACAAATCTAAAAATTCCCATGTGTTCATAATTATTATAATCTTAGAATTCAATTTCTAGTTATAGAACTGGTTTATAAAAAATATTATTACATTGTAAAGATTTTCATCAAATCAAGTAAAAGAAGACAGAAACGAGAAAGATTACTTTCAAAGCTAAACAAATTTATTTAATTGTTTTATTATCTTAAATTCTCGTACTATCTTAAAATTAATTTCATCAAAATTTTTGTGACATACTAAATTATGCGTTTATTAATGCTAAATGTCACATAATACAGTCAGACCTACATAATTGCACACCCCTTGGGACCATATGCATAATTTTCAAAATAGTGCATTTAAAGAGGGTGTGCATTTATAGAGGTAAAATAATTAGAGATCATATAAGCTTGGGACCGAATCAGAGGGTGCATTTAGAGAGGGTATACATAGTGGGTGCAATTATGGAGAGTGCAATTATAGAGGTCTGACTGTAAATGTTAAATAAACGGTACATTTTGTTGAAATAGGCGCAGATTTATCCGCTTCGGCTTGCCATAAAACCAGAGGCTCGTATAAATATATGTAAATAAAATTTAATAAATCATTGAATGGCATCACAGATTGTGTAATAAAACTTTAATAAATCGTTAATAAATTGTATAGTCTTCATAACGACGTCATAACCACATTGTAGACGCGTATAGAATACATATTAATTATGTTATAACAACATTTTACAAAAAACTTACCTCTAAATTTCAAATAATGCCATTCTTAGAAAAAGAAAAGAACATAGTATGCTAAAAAATCCGATATCAGGACATTTCACCGAAGCCATTTCGCCGAAGGGATGTTTCGCCAAAGGGACGTTTCGCCGAAGCCATTTCACAGAATTCCATTTCGCCGAATGGACATTTCACCGAAACATTATTTATTGCATTTGTTTATTTTATTGTTTTTATACTAAATATCATACAATTATTTACACCTATTAAGCCACTTTCGGTCATCAATTAGCAAATCATTAAAGTGATATTAGAAGAAAAGACACTTAAAATAAAGAGAATTTTTTATTTAAACGTTTATTTAATTTTATTTCTATCGCAAAAATAGATGACGTGGCAAAAGAATGTAAAATAGAAACTAAAGAATAAAGATATTAAAGTACTCAATCAAGAATCGATGATATTATTCAACGTCTAAGTTTTATTTTATACACTTGTCATTTGTATATTCGGGTGTAAATCAGAATATTTATAAAGGTTCCTGATGTAATTTAATAAATAAATAAATAAATAAAAAATTCATTGCGCGATTAATATTTTTATAAAAGTGATAATTTCTATCATTTCTATCATATTCTGCGAAATGGCTTCGGCGAAATGTACCGTAACCAATGTTGGTTGACAGCTGACGCGCTTCATCTGTATCGCAAAATCAAGTCTTCCATAGTAAACACTTTTTTTTTTTTATTAATGAAATCATTTTTATTTTATAAATAACTTATTTATCACAATTTAAAATTATATCTATTATGAAAATTTTATACCTAATCGATTATATGTAATAAACTTTACTTGAAAAATATAATAGAAATGTACTAACAATATAATCTATTATAACGCAATAAAAAAACTATCTAGTAAAACAATATAATATAAAATAATATAACACAATAAAAATAATAAAAATAATTAATCATATAAAAATTAATGAAAACGTTACAAGAAACGTATTAATCAACATGTTGCTGCGGTCGTACGGTTTGTGAAGAATATTATCAGTATCGCGACATTTTTATTATGAAGGACGCGTAAACCAGTATAAAAAATTTTTACGCGACGACAATTAACTATGTTGATTATATTGTGATGGAAAAACCTTTTTGTATCTTGTACAATACTTTCATGATATATATGGGTTTATTGATATTTCTATTACATAATTCATAAAAACAAATTTGTACAACAAAAAAACATATAAAACGACCTTACTTTCCCCCTCTTTTCATTATTTTATTGAAATTGTTAAACTCGTTATTTAATTATGGACAACAGAGAAAAGGGTATGATATTTAATATCTTTTGTTGTTCGCTGTCCCTTATATGGCATGCAGTCCCCTTCCCCTCACTCTTTCTACCGAAAGTGGGGTTTCTTTGTTAAAGGACTACTGGCTCCAAAAGAAGAGTTGGTTACGTATCTACCTTTATGACAAACAAAGAAACTTGTCCATGAGTGGGGTGCCTTCATAACCTGTGTATGACACAGCCTAGGACCGATGATATCTCCTATCAAATAGTTCAGTCAGTAGAACAGTCTTTACCCAAATCTCAATATGCGTTGTATGATAACAACGAAGGGTTTGTATTGGTTAATATCTTGTATTGTTTAATATGCATGCAATTAAATCTCTTTTTTTTTGTAATAGCTTTTATATTGTTAAAATGCATACGCCTGGAGTACAACAAAAGGAGCAAGTGCAAATTGATGTCTCCTACGATGACCGAACTATTACCATTATTGCGGAAAGTTCATATTTGAAGATAATGATTTCACAGTAATTGAAACTAATCTTCAAACAAAATTTAAAGTCGATATTGTCTTTCCAAGGATGTAAGTTATAACATTTAATTTTACACTTTCTGGTTATTGAATCAATTTTTATTTAATATTCGTGCTTTCAATACGGATCATCCTATTAGGGTTAATGTTGAGCATGTCGTTACAACGGCCATGTTTAATATTAAGCCCAATAAAAGAAAACTACAAATAATTTAAATAATTTAAAAATGCAATTTTCATATTTTAATTCATTCTTTATTAAAATATAAATAAATATCTATGATATTTTTTTAAAATATACATAATAAAATAAAGTTATTCTTTAGCAAATCCTATATATTATTTGCCGCATTTCAAATTTCGGATCAGCAAGCTATTTTTAAAAAATGCTGAGCAAGCTATTATTCTGTGTCAGATAACCATAATTCATTTTTCTTAAAGAAAAAAGAAAAAAGTCTCGGAGCTGTAGGAAAGGAGATTATTATAAATACAATGTATAATTCAGTTAATATAAATTATAGTTAACGTAAATTTTAATGTATTATAGTTTTAGATTAGGTACATTGTTATATGCATTTGTATTTTAACAAGTGTATATCGCCAAGTCAATTTATTATGTTCTTGATGTTTAACAAATAAATAAATAAATAAATAATAATAATAATAAAGTAAAAGTGTCCCGGAGCTCGTGAGCTGACTCATAGCTCGAGCAAGCTCGAACAATATGTCTGACTCGCGAGCTGGACCGGCTCGTGCGGAGCACTAAATAAGAGGTAAAAAAGTTATTAGAAATTTATAAAAAATTCTTGGATAATATCGGGAAATGTAGAAACCATTTGATAATTGATATAATCTTCAAATAAAGATGTACTTGGACGCAAATAATTCCTTTACTTTATAACTAAGTCAATCATACAAATCACTTTATATAATGAGAATTAATAATAAAGTCTTAAAACATTAAAATTTCCACTGATTATTGGAATAACGTTAATAAGTTCAATAAATTATATTTAGTTTCTTAAATATATATGATAAAGAGAAATATTGAAAAAAAGATACAAAAAAAATTTAATACATGTTTTAAATAAAAAAAAAAGCCGAAATATAAATATACTATGATATAATTTAAGCTACAAATAATAAATAAATTTGTCATAATACTTGATAATATTTAATCAATTGTTAATAGTGACAATATTCATGTTTAAAAGAAAAATTACTTCTATAAATTTTGGGTATCAATATCGAAATCATTTTCCTTGGAAATATATTCTACATTTGAATTAAAAGAAATTAGGTTTAAAGATTTTTCATTTACAGTATATATAAAAGTATGTTTACGCACCATTATTATTAAAATTTATATCAATATCTAAGTTGATCTCTTCTGTAAAGTAATCTAAATACATATAAACAAATTTATTATTAAATTAAATCACGAATTTGATATATTTTTATGAAAACATAATTACCTTCATTTTCATACAATTTTTCTTTTTTAATACTTCGACCTAAATAATTAGTAAACAATGACTTAAACTAAAGTTTTAATTAAAGTTGCTTGTCGAAATTAGTGAATTTCGTCATGTCGAAATTGTTGAAATTATTTTTACCATTTCGGCAATGACCTTTTTATTTTCGGCAAGCAACTTTAGTTTTAATCAATTAAATTGACTAATTTCATACCTTCATCATTATTTTCAATTAAATTATCCTCAAACTTCCTTTTTAATTTTTCTAAACTAATAGATTGACTTCTTGAACTCCTTAAAGACATTGCAGAATTAATCATGCTACTTAAAGGTCTACTTTTATAAATGGCACCCGGATTATTTGTTGTTGCAGGTCCAATATCTAACGATTCAATAATTCCAGTTGGATTGTTTTTCTGGAAATTTTCTGTTTCATTTAGATGCATATTTCGAATTTTTTCATGTAAATCAGCAGCTACTGGTCTTTTCTCCGGATCAGAATGCCAGCATTCTTTCATTAATTCAATATATCCATCAGGTGCATTTGTGACAATTGGTGGTCGTAAACCATCACAAATATCAATAATAAGATATGTATCATGATTTCGATCCCAAAAAGGTCTTCTACCTGTCATAATCTCCCACATAATCATTCCAAAACTATATATATCTGAAGCTTTTGTATATTTTTGTCCTTGAAAAATCTCTGGTGCCATATAAGGAATAATACCATAATTTTCATTATCATCTGTAGATTCAGTTGCAGATTTACTTATTCCCAGATCACCTATTATTGTATCTTCAATAATAAAATAATTGCTTTGATCATTAAAAAAGATATTTCCACTATGAAAATCCCTGTGGATAATTTTTAATTTATGCATTTGTTTAAGTCCATATGCTATATCCTTTAATTTCGATAGCTTCGTATACCAGCTAATATTAAAAAAATCTTTAGTCATGTAATGTATCAAATCACCTGAATCATAATACGGCATGATAATCATGATATCTTGAGAATTAGGATCTTGAGTAACTCCAAAATATCTGCCAATAAAAATTCCATAACTTTTTTTATAAATATCATAAAATACCTTGAGCTAAAATGAAAATAGTTTATTAATTTATTAATATCATTAATGGATTAAAACAGCATATTATGTACTGTACCTCATTCAACTCCTTAGATGTGATGTTTTTAGAATCATTAATTTTTTTGAGGACAACTGTATAATTTTTGAAACGAAAACCTTCTTTGTTATTATAAGTATTAACTGGGCCATCAATCCAAGTAGCTTTATAAATTTTACTAAAACCTCCTTCGGCAATAAATTTTATATTTATGAATTGTTCATAAGGGACATATTCCATTTTCCCACGTTTATTAACAAGATTAATCTGTGTATATCTGATAAAATCATCAATAATTCGATTTCCACTTGAGCCGTATTTATATGCCACCTTTACATTGTAACAAACGTGACAAATCTGATGACTTTCATCTAAAGGTTTCCTTCTTTTATTACATTCGGGACATTTACTTTTTTTGTATTTTGATTTAACAATGGATTGCGTTGGTTGAATTAAAGATGTATTATTCGATAATGAAAAGTCAATTTTATTTTTATAGTTTGTTGGTTGTTCCATATTTTTTTTTTTATAAAAAAAAAATTAGCTTTTAATTTGAGTTAAGTAAAACTGCTGTCTAATATATACATTTTTAAATTTAATAATTAAACAAGGAATTCTTTTTTTCGGATTCTGTGCACATTTTCTAGAAGTTTTTAATGGAAATACAACTTTCTAGAAATGTTTGTGAGAAATCTGTGATATGCAGAGAATTCTATAGTCATACATGTGTGGTACAGCTGTTTAACGTTATATTTTTAGAAGTATTCTGCAGTAAGTTAATCATTGTAAACACGTGAAACATATGGCAATTTGGGATTATGAAAATAAAAAACGTGCTTCACATAATATTAATTCATAATAGGAACAAGTTATGACGTAATTAAAGATTGAGAAAGCTAAAAACGTCCATTTAAAAGTAAGTCAAGGACTTATTCTGATTTTTCCAAGTTATTGATAAAAGATTAACAAGCAACGAAACAGGAATAAAAACTTGAAGGTACTACAAAAAGCACATATATTGTTTTAATAAAAATGAGAATTGTTGTTAAATGATTCGATTATTATGTTTTACTAGAATTTATTTTTGTACTTAAATTTTGATAAAATTATTTGTTAATTTATTTTGATCGAATGTGATAAATTATCAAACTAAAGTATAATTATTTTTTTAAAATAAAAAAAAAAAATTTTTTTATTTCAATTTAACGATTTTATATCAAGTATTAAATTAAATAAATTAAATAGAGAGAATTTATTGGAAATAAAAGGTCAACCCAAATTAGAAATTCTTCATTTATTACTAAATGTTTTATAGATCGTTATAGTTAATAAAATTACTGTTTCCACGCCTTACTAGTGGAATTCTTTTTCTAAACTTTTAAATGAACTTTATATTGAAGATAGAAATTTAGAAAGTAAAAATATTATACGTTAAAATATTTATAGTGAGCGAGTAGAAAAAGTTTTACTGATTAAAATCAAAAGATAAGAGCAGGATTTTTAAATAAAGAATTTAGTTAGTTTAAATTATATGCAAATATTATATAAATGAGTAGTAATAAATAACTTATAATGACTTTTACCAATATTTTTTACATTTAGCATTATTGTTAATTAACTTTACATTCATCAATATATTAAGAATTATTGAATATTAAATAAACTATTTGTACATGGTTATAAATTAGTTGATATTTCACTAAATTGGTTACGGATATTTTTTCGTGTAATAACTGGTTTTATGTTTAACATTTACTAGATATTTATTCTACGTTTTATTATTATTTTTTTAAAAAAAATGATTCATATGCAATAAAGAATTTTTTTGGTACCATAATTCACTTTTCAAATAATAATAGCACATAGGAAATTTATGACAAAATTATCACATCAATTACATTTTCTTCGTGATTTAAGTCTATAACAGTGACAACGTGTTCAAGTTCTGTACAAGATAACGAAAGATAAGTAAAATTTTATTAATGGAATAAAATTTTTACGCTTATAATAAAAAAAAAAAAAATTTAAATTTTATTTGAATTAATACGAATTCATTAATTTATTTTAAAATCACTTGAACCCGCTAATGATTACATTTTTATCATTATACACCTTTGTTTTTGTTTATCTGAACTTTAAATAACTTAAATGCCATAACATTATTTTTTTAAAATTATGAATATGTTAGGAAAAAAAACAACAATAATAATAATAACATGAAAAGGGATTAAAAAGTGAACTAAATTTTAATTCAAAAATTTACGTGCTTATTTCGTTAAAAAAGGTAATTACGTCAGTGTTTCCGTTTATTTTGCAAATTCAGCCAATAATTTCCTTCGAGAACATACTATGAAGAATATCGGTATCACTAGATTAATTTCTCCAGATCCCATTCTTCGTCGTCGTCGTCATCACTATTATAACTACGGGTAATAGTTGGAAGTGTAGAATAATCTATAAAATGGTATTTAATTAATAAATATGATGAAAAAAATCAAATAATTATAACTTAAATTTACCTGAGATAATTTCATGAATATTATCGTTAAAAGAAAATTTTTTAATTTGAAATACTTCATAATCTTCTATAGAAAATTTATCAGCAGATTGTCTGATTTGTTTTTCATAAGATAATTTTTTACAATAATTAGCATAATTTTCAAAAGAATGTTCATAACCTCCATATATTACAAGATCTCCGTTACCAAATGATGGACCGTAACGAGAATAATAATTAATAGCTTGCTTTTCATTTTGTACTCGACTTAAAATATAATCATCTTTATTAATAAAAGAGAATATAAAACTATCTTTAGAATGACCAAAGCAAAATTCAGTTTTCCATTCAATTGGATTATAACCTCCAAGAATTTCTTTGCTATCTTTCACTTTAATAACTGTTATAGTACGAAATTTATTATCACAAATTTCATGAAAATTTTCTGAAGTAAAACCATCACGAGATCCACGTAAAATTAAGTTGAATTCATATAAATTTTTCATCCTATCCGTAATTTCTAATTTATCAATCCATTTTGATATTAATTCAATATGTTTAATTGTAATAATTTTTGAATCAAAATTATTTAAACAATATCTTTTAATTCTTTTAAAATCTGTTGGTTTATAATCATTATTCAAAAAATATTTTAATAAATCTATATATAATTCCTCTGGTAAAACTTCTCTATAAGGAAGTACATTATCCAAAAATTCTTTTGGTGATAAATTAGTGAATTTAATAAAAGAAACACAATCTTTTAAGGTATCCTTTAATACATTGAAATCTTCCTTTGAAAATTTTGTTATATCTGAAGGAATTTCTGAATTACGAGAAATTCCCCATTTAATAATATGTTTCCAAATTTTAACTACACTTATTTTAAAATTTTCATGTCGAATAAGAGATATTAAGTATTTTTCTGAAATCGATGATAAATTTAATAATTTGAACGTTTTATCTGGATTTTTGGATAATAATTTAACACAATATTTTTGAAGTTCAGGAAATGAATCATTCTCAAAACTTGTTTTAAATACCAAATTAAAATTTTGTTCCATCCAGTTTACATTACTATTAATCAAAAAGGATTGTAATAGGGGAACTAATTCTTGAAGACCTAATTCATTTACTGCAATCAAAACTTTAATGACATTTGAAGTATCATTATTTTCCAATGCAAGTTTTCCGCCATAAATATATCTAAAAAAAAAAAGTTTGCAAAAAATTAAAAAATGTTTCTTTCATAAAATTTTTCCTAATAAAATAATTAATTTACCTTAAGATTATTTCAAAAATTTCAGGTAAAATATTTGGTAATTTAATATGCGTCAAATTTTCATCTTCACTTTTTCTTTTATTGGCTAACAAAATTCTTCGTAAATAAGGAGAACGACAACTTAAAATAACCATATGAGCACGAAATATTTTTACGTCAGGGTCATTTCCGACTTCAATTGCAATATCATAATATTCATCATTATCAAGAGTATTAAGTAAACTTTGGGATAATAAACTTGATAAATTTGATAAAAATTCAAAAGAAGGCATTTTTTTTTAAAAGATTAATTTTTTTTTTTTTTGAAAAAAAAAAAAAAAAAACACATTTGGGACAGTCCATATTTGGTGATTATGAGCAAACAGTCTTATGACTTTATCTTTTATTATTAAATTTTAAACGAAACTCCATTTTCCTTTTTTTGATACATAATTAATTTGTGTAAATTTTATAAATAATTTTGTTTCCACTTGGTTTAAAATTTTTTTTTTTTTTTTNAAAAAAAAAAAAAAAAAATTTTCGCATGTACAACATTTTTTTTTGGCCAATAAGTTTGGTCATCAATTATTATGTAAACATCATAAGATCATCGTGTAACAACTGTAACATGTAGTGCATGTAGATCATGTGAATTTCTGATCATCATATTCATCATATAAATTTAGTTAACAATCGCCAACATCGTTATTAAAAATTTATCGTTGAATATTCATATTGGTGAATGTTAAATTAAATACGAAGCTACTAAATTTTTAAGATTGTAGTTCTTTAATTATGGAAATATGTATATTAATCCCATTTCTTTTCTAATAATAATATTTTCTATTTTTAAAATCATTCATTATCAGTTATGATAGGAAAGTAAAAAATTGCAAAATTATATTCATTTTAGAATTTCAGTTGGACGTGATTACAATACAGCGCTTAATAGTAAGGGTTTTATTTTTTTATATTTAATTATATGAAATTTGAAATGAACAAAACGAACAGCACATTTTATTTTATATTTTGAATTGACCATAAGGGATAAACTCCATTTTCCTTTTTTTGATACATAATTAATTTGTGTAAATTTTATAAATAATTTTGTTTCCACTTGGTTTAAAATTTTTTTTTTTTTTTTGATTTGTAACACAGGCGACAAATCTGTTGATTTTTAATTGTTTTTCTTTTATTACATTCGTTACATTTCTTATATGTTTTGTTTTTCTGTTTAACTGCGGTTTGCATTGGTTGACTTAAAGACATATTATCTGATATTAAAACGTTACCTTTTTTATAACCTTCATGTTACATAATTTTTTTGAAATAAAAATTAGATTATTTTTAGACATTTGTGTCATTCATTTTATAAATATATTTTCAGTAAGTAAAAACTGTATAAATTCTATATAATTCCTCATAGAAGTTTCTAATGAAAAAAGTTAATGCCTCATCTAAAAATGTCCTTTGAAAAATGAATTTTTGACAGAATTCCTTCAAAGAATGCTCACATGTACTCCCATTATACAATATGTAGTACAAAGATAATGTGCGTGTGGCGTAATACGGTTTCGAATATTAACAATATATGAAATTCTTTTTATAAACGAGCAATTATTGTTCGTTTAAAGATGTTGCATGTGAAATATCAAATTTTTAATTAACCTTTATTAAGATGATAATTTCAGCTTTACGCCATGTTTGTCGCTTGTTTTAGTAAAAGTGATAAAGTGAAGTTGTTTATGAAAACTGCGTTAAATAATTTCTGTAGATCTCTTCTACGTAGAATTCTTGGAATTCTATGGAGATTATGCATTATATTAATCCGTATATAAGAGCTCCTTGCTTTATTAATTTTATCATAAAAAAAGTATATATGACGTAAATAAAATAAAAATATTGCAATTGTCTACATAGTAATTATTATTTTACCTTTTACAGTAATATTCAAAAGTTAACTAATTTCATTGTGTAAACGAACTTCATTAATATTATTAATTTATTTTGAGTTTGTTTATAATGAGCGGCTGTGTAAAAATCACGATTGGCTGCAACAAGTTTTTTTTCTTTGTCGTTTTTAGAAAGATTACAATCACCATTAAACTTTTATTATTTCTATTATTTCTTTTGGCGTTTTTGGCTGATCATGTTCTTGATACTTTCAGTTAACATTAAATGAGTTAAATAAATAAAAATCCAATGATTTTATATTTTTTTTGGATATAAAATCATCTTAAAATTCGTTTGATAAGTTCACTCAGTTTACATTATTTTCGATAAAAGTGAGTTGTAAATTCTAAAGGATTAAATTCACTGGTCAAAACCAAGATTTTACGATATACTGTATATCTTTAATTATTTATAAATAAAAATTAATTGCAATTAAAACTCTTATACTTCTTGATTATACAATAAAATACTAGTTACATAACAAGTTTTACAGTATCTGTAACATTTATCTATGACTAATATTTAACTATTAAGAATCTCTACCCTTTATAGTACAGTAGAATAAAATAAAGTGAACAAGTTTACAAAAAAAAAATCTATAAAATCTATATCTGATATACAGTAAAAAATAAAAATTCAAGGATTATTAAAATCGATATCAAGTTCAAATTTCAGAGTGACATAATCTATATTCAATTAAAAAATAAATGTTTATGACGTATAAAAGCATTGCTAAGATATTATTAAAAGCACAAATAAACTATTTACCTTTATCATGAGGTTTATTAGATTGATTAAAATTCACATTAATATCAAATTCAATTTCGTTCGTAAGATATTCTAAAGAAACATAAATTATAAATTTTAGTTAAAATTATAAATGGAATTCGTTAATTAATAATAATTATTTACCATTAATTACATTTTCACATAATTTTTCCTTTTTAATACATTGACCTATAAAGTTTTGATTTATTAGAAGTTTGTATAGTTAATTACAAAATAAAACAATAAAATTTAATATTAATAATACCATCGTCATTATTATCTGTAACTAGATCTTCAAACTTTCTTTTACCTTTTAAAGAAATAATAATTATTAATAGTAATATAAATAAACAAAATTAAATAATTTATAATAAAAGTAAATATTAAAGTATCATAAATTGTTTACCAGATCCTAAATTAATAGACAGACTTCTCGAACTCCTTAAAGACATTGCAGAATTAATCATACCACTTAAAGGTCTACTCTTATAAATGGCATCTGGATTATTTTTTGGTACAGGTCCAATATCTGATGATTCTATAATTTTAGTTGGTTCGCTATAAAAGTGATGCTTTAGCATATATTCATTATCTGCCGATTTATTAATTCTTTCACATACATCGGTAGCTGTTGGTCTTTTCTGGATTAAAATCCCAACATTCTTTCATTAATTTAATATACCCTTTAGGTGCATTTGTAACAATTGGTGGTCTTAATCCATCAAAGATTTCGATAATTAACTCTGCATCATGATTTCGATCCCAAAAAGGTCTTCTACCTGTCATAAACTCCCACATAATCATTCCGAAACTACATATATCTGAAGCTTTTGAATATTTTTGTCCTTGAAAAATCTCTGGTGCCATATAAGGAATAATACCATAATTCTCATTATTATCTGTAGATTCAGTTGCAGATCTACTTATCCCCAAATCACCTATATACGCAAAATTATATTCAAAAAAGATATTTCCACTATGTAAATCTCTGTGAATAAGATCTAAATTATGAAGATTTTTAAGTCCTACTATTAAGCTACTTAAATTATCCAACTTTATTTCCCAATCAATACGATAAAAGTCACTACTTAAGTAGCGTATCAAATCGCCTGATTTATAATAGGTCATAATAATCATAATGTCTTTGGTAATAGGATCTTGAGTAATTCCAAAGTATCGAGCAATATTATATTTTTCTAGCACATTGCGATTTGAATAAATCTGATAAAATACCTTGAGCTAAATAAAAATAATTAATTTAATATATTCATTATTCATTATGTTTTAGATTTAAAATATCACATGTACTATACTATACCTCATTCAGTTCCTTAGATGTAATGTTTTTAGAATTATTAAGTTTTTTGAGAACAACAGTATAATTGTTATTTCGAAAAATATTCCAACCATCGGGTTCATTCTCATACCAATTATTAATCGGACCATTAACCCAAGTAGCTTTATAAATTTTACTAAATCCTCCACTAGCAATGAATTCTATATTTTTGAATTGATCATAAGGAACAAACTCCATTTTACCCGCCATACCATTACTATCACTTTGAGTATACCTAATAAAATCGTCAATATCTTTGTTTCCACTTTTTTTAGGCTTAAGTATTGTCTTTATATTGTAACAAATGTAACAAAGTTGGTGACTTTCATCTAAAATTCTTCTTTTCTTATTACATTCACTACATTTCTTATATTTATATAGCTTTTTTTTGTTAACTTTGGTTTGTTTTTGCTGACTTGAGGACATGTTGTCTGATAATAAAGATTCAATTTTATGTAAATAATTTAGAAAACAAATTAGATTATTTTTATTTTTTGAGACACTTAAGAATCTGTCTCTTATACACATCTAGATGTGTATAAGAGACAGATTTCACAATGATGTCCCATTTATAAATGTATTTTGAGTAATGAATTCTACACATAATTTCTCGTAGAATTTTCTAACGGAAAAAGGTAGTAACTATCATAATCACATAATTCTCATAGAATTTTCTAGCAGAAAAAATTTTAATGACTAACCTGAAACGTGTATTAAAGAATTCTCTCATGCACAAGGTTTGTCCTTAATAATATTTTGTAATGAGTTTTTTTTTCGTGAAACAATTGTTTGTTCATTTAAAGAAGTTGCAGTAAAAATATCAATTTTTCTTAGAGTAACTAACGCCATGCTTATCACTCGTTATAGTTAAAGTGTTAAGGTGAAGTTATCATTCTTGCTTTAATGTGTCTTATAACATGTGATTTCTTCTGATAATTGTAGATCTCTTCTATATGGAAACTATGGAAACTCAGAAAAATCCACTACACCTTGGGAAATCTTGGAAAGGATGAGTTCGATAAAAAACTTCTTGTTAGACAAATTTTACTAGAAAAGTATGTATAAAATAAAATACAATAATATAATAATAATACCTTAATAATCATTGTATATGTAATTACATTTGGAACTGCGTGTAGTGTTTGGATCCGAAGCGGTTTTATCCGGTTTTTATCCGGTATCCGTTTCGGTTAATTCAGGATGGAACTATCAGAATTACCAATTTTTTGATTCATAATATATTAAATATTCTGGTCGAAATTATAGTCTATTCAGAGCTGAGATTTAAAATCTTTTTTCGGCAATAATCTCATTTAAAATATTTAAGATTTTATCCGGATCAAAACACTAACTGCGTGTGTCTTATAGCGATTTCTCCTGATAATTTGTAGATCACTTCTATATGGAAATTCATTCTGAGTTCAGTCCTTGTTAAATATTAAGTAATTTATCAAAAATTTTTGTACAGATCAACCTTATTTCGTAAAAAATTTGATCGACCATGGGCGTAATTATTTCAGATAATACGGCATTAAGGCGGCGAAATGATGAAATATATTGCATCAAATTTCTGTTCGATGATTCATATGAAAATAATATTACACTGGTATGCCGAATTGGGTGTAATGTGCCGTAATATTTGGCTTGAACCTAGTAACTCAATAAGCACGAATAAATAACAGATGATTACAACTATTATATTAAAATATTCTGCGTAAAAAAAAAGCTATTATTATGTTTTTTTTCTTTTTTTGATAAACCAGGTTTAACTCTTTTTTTGAGTGACTTTATCACAAATTTATTTGCACGGTATAACTGATATACTTCTTATATTATATAGACTGAACATAATCCATTTAATTTTTTTTATCATTTATTATTATTGAAAATACCTAATGATTTCTATAAAATTTTAGTATCGATAAAAGAAAGTACTAATAATAATTCTTTCTAAACCGAAATTTTTTTTTATTATTTTTAAATGAATTCAAAAAAATAAATAATGTTGATGATAAAAAATTCTCTCCTTGCCTTTTTCTTGATAAATAAAAAAATGAAAATTATGCCAACTTCGATACTTGTTAAAAGTTTACGAAAAAAAAAAATATTTCAGAATTTTTAAGATAAAAATTTTTTAAAAATAAAATGTTCATTTGCTACTATTAATAAAATGTATTAATAATAAATACATTTATTTACAAAAAATAAATTGATGATTAAAAATTTCTTAATATTACATGATTACAATTCCCTTTTGATTAAAAACTGGATATAGTAAAATTTTTTATTCATTTATTCAATTTGTTAATAAATTTTTTAAAAATATACTTCTTTTATGGATCTTAAAAATATTAAAAAATTAAATCACTAAATTTTTCTTCAATTATAGACTTTTAATTTCAATTTTATTATTAAAGTCATAAACGTTCTTAAAAAAGGGATTTTCTCAAAATAATCTAAAACGTCTCCCTATCAATTTATTAGATTTAAAATTATTCGATTTCGAAAGAATCTAAAGAATCTATGAATAAATTATTAATTAAAAATTTATTCATTCTTAATTGACTAGAATTTAATATCGTCGTATTTTAATTCATTATTAACAATTTGTTGCAAGAAAGTATAGAATATTTCAAAAAATAAATAAATGAACAAATGATAAACATAAAATTGACTTTTTACTATCGAATAATATAACTACGGTTAAATTCTAGAATTTCCGGCTCCTCTAATAAAGGAACTTGCAGTCGGCTCGTGCTACTTAAAAGAAACTAATATAATACTTTGAATGCGTACTTTCTTGTCAAATTGATATCTATTAATGGCCTATTATAGGATATTCTCTTTGCTTACACTTGGATTAGGGACGCAATTTTAGTTTTATCAGTTAGATAGCTCAATCCCATAGAGTACCTCTTGATTGACACCCACTAAGAATGCATCTCTTTGGTCAAAAAAGAAAGACATAAAAAATGCGAATGTAATAAAATAAGAAAATCTTTTTGAAGGTCATCAGATTTGTCATACGTGTTATAAATCAAAAACAGTTTTTAAATCAAGTGGAAACAATGTTATTAAGGTTATTGATGATTTTATTAAATATACAAAGACTAATCAAAATTATTGTTATTTAAATAATTTTAAAGCTAGTACGTTCAATAATGCCAAAACCATTTTATAATTACTTTTTTTTTACTTTCATACTTCACATTTAATTTCCTTACCTTCCATTTCTAATCGACTGTTCTTTTTTTTTTTAAAAAAAAAAAATAAATAAATAAAATATCTAATGACATACGAATAATATAGTACCTTATCATTGCTAGCCTTTTTTGAAAAGCTAGATTTAGTAATGGCAAGTTTATGTTGTCGGTTGTCCTATATTTTTATGTTGACAAATAAAACATTTAATTTTACATATAATAATTATTATTATTTTCATGATTTTTTATTAATTAATAAAATTATCAGTGTAGAAGAAAGAATAATAAACGAAAAACTTTAATAGTAATATCTTAGTATCGGCATCATCTAAAATCTTAAGTAAATTTTGCGATAATTTTAGTAAAAACTCTAAATAAAAACATTTTTGTGAAATTTCAACTTTATATGAATGGATATTAGTACGACTTGAAAATAAAATTTGTTTTACAAAAAGCCAAAGTTGATGATTGGCCTTTATGAATTGGTAAAAATAATAAAATAAAGAATGTAGTTTAATGTTGCTAAAGCACTAGTTATAAATGTAATAATAAATGTAATTACTAGATAAAATCATAAAACTAGTATTATTTTCAAAGTAATATTAAATTTATTACAAAATAATCAATATGCAAATATATTACAGAATAGAATAGTAATTTCGTATTATTTATGTTTCAGTTATTTTATTGAATAATATTTGTAATATATTTCAAAATAATCTATCTAATTAAAAAAATTTTGTCATATTTAGATTACCCTGTAAAAATAATTTGAATTGTGTAACATTGAAAAGTGTGATATTCTTGCGTTCGATCTATTTCGTATTTATCATATAATAATTAACTGACTACGATAACCAATCTTTAAACTAATACATTTCGGATTTTTTATTATGATGGATTAATACTAACAAAAAAAAGAAAAAGTATAATTTTTCTTATTAATTGCATTTATTTGCGGTCATTTCCGCTCTCTTAGTTACCACGAACCATTTCTATAATAATAATTTTTTTTTATTTTTCAGTTTTTACCGTAAAAACCGAAACTACCTTTTTAGTCTTTTCTTTTATTAATTTTTTTATCCCTCTTTTTATCATTATTGTTTCTTTTGATTAACTTAACCATTTTTTTTTAGGAGATTTTTTTTTAATCGGAATTTATCAAAATTTTTGGAATTTTTTTTTAACCCAAAAAAATATAGTTTATTCTTTTTTTTGGTTTGGGTCAATACTATAGAACTATGTCCTACGGCTTTTCGATGTTTTAGTGAGATTTTTTAGTCAATGATATTGTTTCTGACTAATAAATTCGTGTGAAAATTTTTTTTTAGTGTGAACTTTTTTTTTGTTTATTGAGATTTTTTTTTCGATTTAGTGAGAACTTTTTAGATTGATTTTTTCAATATTATTTCCGACTAATAAATTTGTGAAAATTTTTTAGTGAGATTGTTTTTAATTATACAGATATTTTGTAATTAAATCTATAATAAATTTTTTGATAAATCTATATAACTAAAAAAAACTTTATAACTAAAAAAATTTGTCTGACGTCTGGATTAGTCTCTGCATAAATAATTTGAATTGTGTAACTTGAAATCCCATGCCATATAATTAAAACCCGTGACATGCCTATACCTGATCTATTTATCCGTGTACATTCAATTTTTTTTTTAAATTTGAAGAAAAAAAAAAAAACTCTTTCCCCTTTCCATTTTTTCACATAGAAATCCGCAGTTAAATACTGTTTTTTCATTTACACCCCTTTTACGTTTTTAACGTTCGAGAAGAAAGAAGACCACTGGGTGGCTTCTTATGGAAAGGTTCTTCTCCTTATCACCCGACCTTTGAAAGAAGTTTTTATTATATTCTCACCTCATTTTTATATAAAATATATTAAAATATGGTTTTTACTTCTCATAAACCTATCCCCTTGGGAAAATTTTCTTTCAACGTCTCATTCCATAAATTTCACGTGACTAGACCCAAACGGGCTGGATGTAACAAGATTTACGAAATCAGAAGATCAAAAAGTTTCTTTTTTGAGTTAGTTGATCCCTCAACAAACACCAATGATATTCATCTTAAAATACACACAAATGATTATCACATGAATTCTACCCCTATTAGCTACTCTTCCACCTGTAGCTTTCCTAATCTGAAATTTCAGATTAGTAAGATGTTACAACATTTTTTTTCCCATCAAAAAGTTATTCCACGTTCCATCCAAAAGAAATATTTTAATCTTATTCGTTCAAATTTACTCGATAGATATTTTCTTGTCAAATCACGTGCTGATAAAGTCGCACAAAGAAATTCCCGAACAAAAACTTTCTTTAATTTTTCTTATAAACGTTATCGTTTTTATTTCGGTATTTTTACACCATGTAATTTTCTCACCAGTGATAATTCTGGAACTAACCACACACAGATGTGTTGTGTCCCTTCCCCTTTCATTATGTCTTATAATAGACGCGCTTGCATCTCCCATCATAAAAATTTAGACATTTTTCAGAACATCAAAAAACCCCTTCCGTTATCAACTAATAACGTAAATAATAAATGGCTTCACGCAACCCTTACTTATAAACAATGGCATCAAAATGTCAGAAAACACGTTTACTCAAATCGCCTAGGAATTTCCTACGATGTTTCATACTTAGCTAATGGACGCAATGTCCTTCGTACGAACAAGAACTTTCGTATGTACCGTAAACGATTCGACAATTTTCTTTCACATCACTCCGACAGTAGTAAAAGGAGTAAAAGACAAAAATCCCGTTTTCAACGGGCATGTAGATCAGTTTTCCACGATCGTGGTAATAACGATAAATTCAACAGATATGCGGATACTCTTAAAGAAAAGCTTCACCGAGCTAAACATCAGTGTTTCCTATTTTTACCTTCACAATATATCAAAAAATCTGTACATCATTTAAAATATTATAAAAGACCATCCCCCCGAGATGAGAAACATTACAATTTTCCTATACCCGTTGGTTTAACCGAACCTTTAGATGCTAAGGCCGTTCTCGCCGAGGATCTTGAACCACCCCCTCGACCATATCCAGGGAACGATTCAATTAGTACTTCAAATTCTCACCTATCTGCCACCACCTCACAACCCATTCTCCTCAAAGAAGAGAATACTTGGCATGATAAGTTGGGCATCTGGATTCCTAACGACCTCTTCCCTTATGTTACTGAAGAACCTGTTTATATTTCTAATAGACAGGCCAAAATTAAAGGTCAACAATATGAACCAGGATGTATATACTGGTTAAATGGTATTAGAAAACGTAAAGAAGCTCACGAATTAGCTGTACGATTACAAAAAGAACGAGAAGCTTGGGATGTTAACCGCCTTGCTCATGAAGAAGAACTCGCAAATAGAGCTAAGCTCTGGTGCACCTCCTCAAACCGTGTAGAATATCGTGAAAACATGTGTAAAGATCTCACTGAATTTCAAGATCACTTTCACAAGAAAATTACCAAATTGACTGAACGCCGTTCCGTTCTACATAACAGACTTACACAAAAAAAAAATGTTTACAAAACTAACAAACAATTGCTCCAACTAGAGCAAGAATTGGGTCTATTCAATATCGAATATTTTTCAGTCATGGATGACCGCGAGTCCCATTACCGTTACAAAGGACACACTTCAGATGACGCTAAACAACTCGAACTCAGACCACACAAACGTCTCCCTATCCCAAATACAGATAGGCACATTACTGAGGTCAAAAAATTGAGACTAGATATACTGTCTCCAGAAGACTCTAAAGTCTTCGTTTTCCCTTAACTCCTTTCGTATACAACTATCAGCTTATAAATTTTTTATATATATTTTTTTTAGTGGCACGCTGATAGTTATAGACTTACACTCCTTCGCCACTTAATTATCATAAACTAGTATTTTATTACATCTTTTTTTTTTTGGGTAACCCCCACGTACAAATTTTATACCAATGTACAACAACTAGAATAGTGTGAACCATTCCACCTATTACAGTATTTACAGGTGGCGGTCTTGAATGACCGAAAGAAAAATACGGATCTCTTCTTTGTTCTTAGATTAGATTGTGCTAAAGCCTTTTCTTTGGTCCATTGGGATGTGATGTCGTGTTAGGGACTCCTCCGGGTTAGTTAAAGGTACCAGAGTGGCGCTGTCCTCGGGCGGTTTGATTATAGCTTAGTATTAGATAGCGTTCGACTTTTGTTTTATCTTTTGTTCTTGTCTATCTTTCTGTAATCTTGTTCACGTGGTTTATAAAAATAAAAAATAAAATAAAATAATTTTTTTTTTAAATTTTTCGTTTTTTTATTTTCACACTAAAAAAAATTTTTCTCCCTTTCTTTCGGTTTAGTTTTTTTTTCAAACCGAAAAATTTGTTTTTTCTTATTCTTTTCCCGTTTAGGTTTAATTTTTTTTCCCAAACTGAAAAATACCAGAATTTTTTTCTGTTCTTCAGATTCCTTTTTTTTCGCAAATTTCCCTTTTTTTTGAACTGATTTCTTTCTTTATCCTTTTTCTCTCCCCCAAATTTATTTTTAAATTTTTTTTTTTCCGTCTTTCAATTTTTTTAAAAAAATCAATAACAACAATGTAGAAAGATGATTAAGATTTTCAATTAAATTGAACGCTGGATAAATAGTTTGATTTTCAAGTTTAATTAATTAAAGAAATTGTTGATTTGATAATAGCTAAATAATCACCAGATTTTTGAATAAAAATTTTAATTCAAATAGTTTAATTAAATTAATAATTTATCGAATAAAATGAGTATCAAAAGAATAATAATAAAATGAAATGAACAGATCTCTAATACATTTAATTGTTCAAATATTTTTCCTAAGTTGATTATAAGTTTAAAATTGACGTAATATAAAATAATAAGAATTAATTAATTAATTAATAAAATATTTGTAGTATTTTCATAATATTAAAATTTTTTCAAAAATACTTCTAAAAAATTAATCAATTTTTATTGATAATTATTTTTTCACAATTTCTAATTAATCCGAATTTCACTCTAGTAGTACACTCAAACATAAAATCATTAATATAAATAGCTACATTATTCTAAAAATAATTTATTATTTATATCATTCTAATATTATAAATATAATTTAATACATATTTTTTGTTACCTAATTGTTACCATATTAAATTCCTAATTATAAACAAAAAACTTCTTTAATTTACTTAGTATTACATTACAATACTAAATCTTTCTATTTAAAAAACTCATTGGTCCCGGTGCGAAGCAACGGGTGACAACTAGTATATATATATATATAT